GTTCAATGAGAACTGGTGACAGATACTGAGTATATGGAATTACAACTTAGAAAATTCACTTTTGTATCAAACAGCCTTGGTGATAGAGAAGTCCAGTGTAGGGTGTGTTGCCTTCTGGTCCAGGAAACCTTGCTTCTTACTTTCCCTTCTTGTCTATTTACATTTACCATAGCAGTCATGCCCAAATAACAGCATGGTGTTCTTCTGAAAAGCTTCATAAAATTTCTGACACATTAGTCAAAATGCCAAGAAATCTTATTTTTGGTAGTTGTTATGTAGGCAACCCACATAATATAGTAAACCCAAGAAGAGCTCTAATAATTTCCCTTATTTGTAGAATCACATTGTGAAAAGGGTGCCTGTAACCTAGAAGTGAACCACTCCCCATGGAAATTCTTGCTATCCTTTCCTGAGGGAGGGAGGAGAGAATTCAAGTACCACCTCTTCCAGTTTTTCCACCAAAGTAACAAAGCAAGTACAACAAAACAAGAATACAGATGTTATAAAATACAGGTATTTCCATTATGCTGATTCTTTTCCCTCTTTCTCCCCATTTTCTCACCACTGAATTTATCAGAATAAATTTCAGGAAAAACCTCCTAGACTCAGGAAGAGACCCAAAATCTAGAGCAGGTTTTGTCTGTCCAGCGTCATCACCTAGTGAGATCAACTTTCTGCATGTAAATTTTACCCAGGTTCTGCTCTGTCATGAGTTAATAATTCCCTTGGTGAGGAAGAAGACTTGTAGACTAGAGAATTGTACCCAGCTTCCCCTTAAATGTAGCATGGAGCCAGGGGATGCAATGGCACTGAGATTTCTCAAGGTCTGCATACATCTTGGAGAATGACAAATTCAACTGTATCCTGTTTCAGAAAAGGCATGAATCTCTAATTTTAATTTTTAAAATTTAATTATCTTTAAAATGTTTTAACATAATTATTAATTGGAAATACTAATTTTAATATCCTATGCTTGCCACTAGATTACTGTAATTAACAAAATGAGCACAGAATTTACATGTTCATGTCATTTAGAAAAAAGGAAATTATAATTCTGAATTATTTTGTCTCGAATCACTGTCCAATATTTCAGCATATCCCTGAAAAACTGGACTCATTCTGACTTCCTCTGTTACCACTCTCCCCAGTGAGCTACTTAATTGAATTTAAGTCATTTAACTCCTTTTTTTTGCTGCTATTATATTTACCATGTGATTTTGAATACATCTAGGCACAATCCACTGTGTCATCTTTATAAACAATATATTGAATATTGTACCTTGAACTCAGTACTTTTTACTTTAGGCAGATAACAAGCATTTGCTATTGAAAGTTTTCTTGTAACCTTTAGGTCACATGATTGTGCCACTGTACAAATACTAAAAGACAAGCAAGAATTTTAGGTACATCTGCAAAAGATAAAAATATTCATAAAATAATAATTAATAACAGTTACATAAGTGTAAAAATATTATAAAAATTCATCTAAGCTGGCCATAAAACTCCATATACTTAATTTTGTTTGGTACATCTGTAAAGACTGAGAGAAATTTCTGAAAAACAAGCATTCAGTGGCAGCTCATTCTGATTTACTTTACTGTTTGAGGAATAGTCTTATCATAGTTGAATATTATTTTTCTTTACTTTAACTTTTAGTATGTTGCAAAGAATGAAACATCAGAACTGTTGACATGTAATAGATTATAAAATCTACAGTTCACATCAACTGTGAATGACCAAAATTGAACACAAAACCATGAGGAAATGTTTACATCTTATTTTCTGACAGGACAGTAAAACAGTCATTCATGCTCTTTATTCTTTGCCTTTGAGGACATCAGTGTTTCAAGCTTTCCAAGATTTCAGCTGGTGACAGCTATTGATTTATCATAAATGCATGCAGTAGAAGAAACACCCACTTTCTCCAGTCTTTCCTTTAACTTAGCTGCATTTCTGATCTATCTCTTCATAAGTGACATTCATGAGTTACATGTTGCGATACTAATTAGTAACCTCACAGCACACTAATTAGTAACCTCACAGCACACATTACAGTGTGAATCACAGTTTTCAACAAGGAAAGGAAGATTATTCCTCTCCTTTCTTTGGCAAGCACTGAACAACTTAGAAAGTCAAAGTAAAGCCAGGTTAGTCATGACTGATACGTGGATCTTCTTCCCCTTCATCACCTATTTGGAAACATTTAATCAAGATGTTACATTGCACCATCATAAAGCTCAGATCTCTACCAGCAAATACATGGGGAATATTTAAATAGTCATATTTTAACACACAGCCATGAGAAGTGCAATCACTTGCTATTAATTACTGTCCAGAATTGCCTATGTGTTCAATACATATTTTTTTTCCTTTTAAGATTTCTCATAAAAATTTTACCCTATTGTCTCTATGACAGCTTTAAAAATTGGGTTGAAGTGAACTCAGATCCAATATGTATCTCAAAACACTCAGGAAGAATACCTGATAAACTTTTCTTTACATTGGGGATCAACTCTTCAAAAAAAGAGCTACATTAGTTTGCATTCCACTCTGAAAGTCTTGGTTTCCTGAACTTCATTAAAATGCAAATAAAAATAAAAAGCCTACTGACATCTTGACCCAAATGGAACCAGTGACAAATATCTTAGGAAGAATTAAGAATATTTAAGAATTACTTAAGAATATTCTTATATTAAGAATATAAGAAACTGTATCAAGGAAGAAAATTTAATAACAGCCATTTTATCTACAAAAATGAAATAAACTTGGAAATTGCTGATCCTCTCTGTTGCTAAAACAATTGGCCCCTACTGTCCTCTTTAGAACTCCCTTACAACCATTTCTGTCTCATTTTACTTGTAACCTCTTCCAGACTGAGGCAATGTTTTTTTTACTTCTCTATAGGGCTTACTCCTGGTGATTGCTCCTTTTGAAAAAGGATTTGCAGTGCTAAGACAATGAAATTAACCAGAATGACAGGATTTTGTCTATTACACTTGTGAAAAAGTATCTAACTTTAATAGATGTAATTAAATTGGTTACATTAAAACACTATTAAAAACACCCAAAACAAACAGATGAGACATTTTATAATCACTATTACTTTGACTCAACTGACACTTTGGTTAAAAAACCAAACTGGTAAAACTCAATGAATGGGGAAAAAGAATACTTTAAAGATAATATATACATTAATCACAGCAAATGAGGCCATTTTTCACAGGAAAAAATAATCACTTTTAGGATGATATTACAGAAATTTTTATAAACATGTGCATGCATATTTATTTCTTTCTGCAAATATAATATATATTTATTTCTTTCTGCAAATACAATATATACTCGACAAATCTATAGCAGGTTAAGTATGAGGGATGCAAGTCCTAGCACTAAGTGGTAAGATATTTTGCAAGATAAAAAAATGTAACTGAAATAGTAAAAAAATCACACAAATATTGTTATACATCTCAAAGTTGTTATCACAAAAGAAGAAGGACAAAATTAAATCTAAATATCTTAAGGTACAACTCTACCTGTGGTATTCAAGCTATTGCATATGGCTTATTAATGACCCCACGAGAAGAAACTGATAGATTTTCAAAACTTAGCTGATCGAGTCTAGGACTGAAATATTTTATTGTCCCACTTAAAATGTTGTATTGCCTTTTCAATCTCACTGTGAGAAGTTTGTGTCAGGTACCCAGCAGTGGTGCAGAGCAGCATGCTGTCACTGCAGTGATTAAGTTATTCTCAGACATCACTATTCAAGCAGAATTACTGATAGTGTGATGAGTTTCACAGACTCTCTAATTAATTTTCAAATTTATATACCACTTTCTACCTAAAAAGACCTGAAAATTAGCATTTTTTAGAAATTACAGGTGCTAAATATGAAAGTTATAACCTCCAAAGCCTCTTATACTTGATACTTTAAAAATTGCATACCTGTACACCAACTCTGAAGTCTGTAAACATTAAGAAGCAAATTCTGAATTAAACCTTTTTTCATACTGGAGATACTTTATGAAAGTTACTTTCTGTTCCCTATATTGCAGCTGAAGAGGCCATGTATAAACACTCTATTTAAGGTTCAGCACTTTTCTACCACTTAATTTACTGTTTAATTTTCATGCCCCTGTAAGATGAAGCAATAAAGTGCTCAACTTTTGGTTTTGCAGCACAGAACATCAAAGAACTTGACAGGACTAATCTCAGCTCTGAGAACCTTCTGTACTTCCTAAACTGGACTATCAGATTCCATTTTTATAGTTTCATTATACTGAAATGCACATCTTCAAAGAGTGGAATGGGAAAATATTGGGCACCTGTGGGTTTGAAGAGCTCTCAAGGACAGGAAAACCTGTGTGAAGCAATCAGGTACCCAGGGAACTGCAAAGCTTGTGTCTCCTCTGGGCAGTGGGAACCAAAAGCAGCTGTTAAGTCTGACAAATTCTTAAATGTTGGTGTTTTTTTAAAGCTCAGAGAAGTAAACCAGCTTAGTGCTTAGCCAGATTAGTGCTTCAATGTTTCCTTAATCATTTACTGCACATAACATTTGTGAATGCTGCAGTGCTACATTGGCTAAGCTCTAAAGACAGTTTACATAATCAAGCATTAAACTTCAAATAGATAAGCAAGGTCATTGCTGCCTCCAGCGCCAAGAATAGCTCCCCAGTACCAGAAGATTTCCAGCCTAGTTAGAATGTTTTCTAAGTTCTTACTAGGACTCTCTTGACAATTCTAAAAGCCCATTTCTCTATTGAAATGCAAAGGAATGTTACAGGAGTAAAACAGCAGATGTTTTATTTTCCTGAAAAAGTCTTCAAGATTCATAGGAAAGAAAGAAAGAAAAAAACCCAACTTGCAACAAAAATGTTAACACTGAGATCTACATTTCCAAAATACATGTGAACTCCCACAGCAAAGAACAAACACTCCTTGATTGAACATACGGGCGTGTTTATAATTAGCCTAAGATTGTTCTGTTTGTCCTCAAGAGGAATGTAAGGCAGAACAAAGAACACTGAAGTCTCCCTCATACAAAAATACCTCATTTTGATATATGAGCTACCCATTCTAACAAGATACTTACTTGCTGGTTCTTATGAAACCTCTGTGGCATTTTCTGTTATGCTTTGTAACAGAAAGCTTAAGATCCAAAAAAGATTTCATCAGAAAACACTCACAGAAAGCTCACTTTATCCTCAAAGGTCACAGAAACAGGTGAATAAAAGTTTAGCTTATGCTGGCTAGTACTTCAGATTGCATCACTCACATGATACCCATTTCTCCTCTGTTCCACGAGTATCAATTTTATTGTCATCATGCCTGTCCCTTTATCTTTCTCCATTTGAGAAAACAAAGGATTGAATAAGCTCATTCATCTCTTAGTTAACAAATTCAACAGTACCAAGGGTCTTAAAATTACAACGGAAAACGGACCATGAAATCCATGTGAACAATAAATCTTCAAGAAAAACAGTTATCACAAGATTTGAAACTGATCTCTCTCATTTAAGTGCTTATCAACATACGTTACAGTTTCTCATATCACAAAACTAGAAGGGATCGCTTTTACCTCCTCTAAACCCCAACCACTAAACTGCCTTGACTTTCCCTTATTAAGACAATCTGCAATGGTTAAGTTGTATCTGCCAGGTATATTTCTAGTCTTGTCCTGAACCATGAAGACATACAAAATTTATTTGGTAGCTTGTTCCAGCAGAAGGGGAGAGGCAGGGAAAAAATTGATCATTACATAGGAGATTTGCAAAATTCTCAAAGCATGCTTTCAAGCAACTACAGGAATCTTTGACCCATTTCAGGCACCAAAAATTCTTGCTTCTTTGTCAAATCCACAGAAGCTTTCTGCAATTTGACTTCAGTTTGATAATTACATTTTGAGTGAAGCTCCTAAAAACAGATATTGACAAACAGCATTCGCTGAGGAGAAAATCTTCCTGCCATGTATTTAAATACCTCCTGATTTTTATCCCAAAGTTTTATGTTGCTTGAAGGTTTAATGTATCATCTGTACTTTCAAAAGTAGTATGATACCAGGTTTACTCACAGACACTGTCACTTTTGGAGCTTGTCTCAGATATTAAACCAGTACCAAGGTTTTATAAATTTTCATTAGCAAATGAATTCAAACACACACTGCTACCAAGTATTTTATATATTTGAATCAAAGGGAAAGATCTTTAATTATACCATGTGGAATATAAGAATCATAGTGCAAAACTTCTCTTTTAACATTCTATAGAAAAAAAGATACTAGGTTCTAATTATCAGGTGAGAAGCAGAACAGAGGGATAATAATGACTTCATTATATAAGTATTTCAAAAGTTATCATTTTATACATCTACCTGGAATGCCCCAAGTTACATTTGCAATAGTGGTTTTACTTATTGGCTCATGCAGAGCCAACTAATGGGCATTTCCTGCTTTTTCCCAGGTTGGAGAAAAGGCTGCTTTTAACCAGATTCTAACACATGGCACACAGCACATACCCCTTCCAGTTTTCATAGAGAACATGAGTTATGAATATACACTAAAGTCCAGAACTGACAGGGCAGCCTCTGATTGCTGAGTCTGCTCCTAGAGCTTCTGTTTTCATTTTTTCCAAGGACATGTATTACCGGGTGTTTAAAAATTATTCTTAACAGAGAATGAATATGAAAAGCCACTTTTAAAGTATTGATTAAAAGGAAAAGAAGTATCAATAAAGGTTGTAAAAATGTTTTAAGTTTTTACATAGTTATGCATAACAGAATTATGTAACATAACTTCAAAAAAATATTGAAAAAACTCAAAAAAACCTAAAAATAAAACAAGCTGTTGACCAACCTTTATGTCTGTGAGATCCATCCATGTCAGAAAACTCAATATGATTTTCATCAGCCCAATACAGTCTATGGTTGACATAATCTATTGTAAGAGCCATAGGCCTAGATATCTGTGTTTCTATGACAACTGTTTGACTGGAGCCATCCATACCCACACGGCCAATGTGAGGATACTCACAGCAATCAATCCAGTACAGGTATCTATAAAAGAAAATACAACAGCTGCTTTCTTTAGAGATGCAAAAATACTAACAAAATCATTTATTTTGTTGATCTCAAGAATTAATCAGCAATTATTCTATAATGTTTCCATTTGTCAGATGGCTTTTTGGATTTTTCTAGACCTGCCTGTAAAGGAGTATGCTAAACATAAAGCATTTGAATAGCAGAGTCCTCAAGTTAGATTTGATTTCATAAAATTTATTATGGACTAGTAAAATTGCATCTAAATTGCTTACTCTTGATAATGTAAAATTGGAAGTTTTGCCCAGATTAGACCTCATGAATCTCAAATCCTGCAAAAATGGACTTGCTTCTAAACTTATGACATTTACAGTGTCTTTTGTTTCTACATATATTACAAAATCTTGTTTTTGTTGTTAACAGTAATATGATGAAAATTATATTACTTCAAGATGTACTAGTTTCAAAACAGTAGCATAATTTCTCACACAAAGGACTTAAAAATGAGTAAAGCACTGAGACAGACTGTTGGAAAGCAGAGAGGCAATTTTCTCCTCAATATGCTATTTAGCCACAATACAGAACATGTTCTTACAAAAAAAATAAAATAAAAAATCCTGTTACTTGGTACAGGTATGCATGTTGCTAATGTTTCATATCACTACTTAGAACATCAGGACAAATCTTTCCAGTTGGGAAGCTGGTATGCCTCCACTCTACAGATTTTGGGTCTCAAAAAGCCAGATGCAGCCAGTATTCTTAATCATAGAATGGTGAAGGTTGGAAGGGACATTAAAGGTCATCTGGTTTCAACCCCCCTGATATAAGCAGGGACACCTCACACTGGACCAGGCTGCACAAGCCTCATCCAACCCGGCCTTGAACACCTCCAGGGAGGGGGAAGCCACAACCTCCCTGGGCAACCTATTCCAGTGCCTTACTGCCCTCCTGGTGAAGAATTTCTTCCTGATGTCTAACCCAAATCTTTCCTCTTTCAGTTTAAAACCATTACCCCTTGTCCTATATCACTACCCTCTCTGGTGAAAAGTCCCTCCCCAGCTTTCCTGGAGCCCCTTCAGGCACTGGAAGGTGCTGTAAGGTCTCCCTGGAGCCTTCTCTTCTCCAGGCTGAACAGCCCCAACTCACTCAGCCTGTCTCCATAGCAGAGCAACTTGGAATAGTATTTGTGTGCAGAAGAGAATGGTGGCCCTAAGAGCAGATACAGCTATCCTGCAGAACACAGGTGCAAAATGTTGACACTGAGCCTGCTTCAAATAAGCATTAGACAATGGGAATTTTCTCCCCTGGCTCCAAGAGAAAAAAATTTGTTTGGAAACATATTACTGTTGCATAGCATCAGCAATATAATGGCTTAATATTTCTCATTTGTGTGAAAAAACCCTACAATATAGTTAGTAATATTTCAAACAATAACTCTGACTTTGAAATGCAAACACATTCTTTGTTTCAAGCAGTCTTCTATATTAAAATAAACAAATAAATATATCAATTATTAAAAAAAGAAAGCCTGGAAAAGGTAAGTCTGTACACATGATGCAGACTGAGCAGGAGCAAAATAAGTTTATTAACTTTTAAGTGTGTATCCAGACCTTCCTAGAAGACTAGGAGTTCAAACACATGGTAATGGAATGGCTCAAAATATTTTGAAAACCAGTAACCACAGAAAAGTGTGCTAAAAAGATAGATCACTTCAGAAAATTAATGAAACAAACCATAAGAATTTCCTCCCATGTAATATGAATGCTGTTATTGAGTAACACTTCTTTAAAAAGGTAGGGAGTTTTTTACGGATCTGCATTCCTCCCATTAAAAGGAAACATACACTAAGTAGTAAGTATAACAAAACAGCATTGAGAGGAGAAGGCTTTGGGGAGACCTTATTAAATGTTCCAGTACTTAAAGGGTGGCTGCCAAGGAGATGGAGACTCCCTGTTAACAAGGAGTCACATGGAAAAGACAAGGGGCAATGGGCACAAGTTGCTCCTGGGGAGATCCCGATTGGACACAAGAAGTAAATTTTTCACCATGAGGACAGTCAAACATTGGAATAGTCTCCCAGGGGAAGTGGTAGATTCCCTCACACTGGACAGTTTTAAGTCTCAGCTTGACAGGGTGCTGAGCCATCTCATATCAACAAGAGTAGGATCCTAGAAAGGTTGAACCAGATGATCCTCGAGATGCCTTCTAACCTGGCGTTCTGTGATTATACCAATTTGATATGTAACAATGATATAAGCAGCACTGGTAATGCATTTTAGACTATGATATCCAGTGTAGCTGAAAGTTAGATAGTAAAAAAACCCCAACAATTAGTGCTTCCTATCTTCTGTTTTAATATAAAATATTTAAATATAAAAATAGAATTCTATATGAATTACTGCAAAATAGTTGCTTCATACCCAGCTTGAGGATCTAAGGACAGATCTCTAGGAAACTTCACCCTTTTGCTCACAAGGACAGTAGGGTATAAGCCACTGAGTTTAGACACCTCAATAATTCTCTTCTCAGTATCGGACCAATAGAGATTCTTCCCAATCCAATCGACAGCCAGTGCATTGGGAACAGCTGTGTTGTGGACTACCTGGAAAAGCCAAGGTTGCACAAATTATTCATCTAAATACCAGAACAACAATTCCAGAGTTAAAAATACTAGAATATTGAGAGGTTGGATATATGATACACTGACCCACAACATGTGAAGAATAGGTATTATTCCCTGTTAAACAATGACACATCTGAAGTGATGACACTTCTTAAGTAGCTAAGACAATGTGACTCTTTCCTTGTAGTAAGGGAGAATGTAGAATGCCCTGATGTAGTAAATATGTACTTGACTTGTAATAATTTTGCATCTTTCATTTTTCATCTCAAGTCCCTCATTTTTTTCCCCCTTTACTATTGTGTTTATTTTTCACAGATCAGAATGGAGATGAGGCTTCTCTCCTTGTAGTGTGCCCTCAAACATGTCTGCTTATTAGCTCACCAGTTCCCTCTCAGGTCTATGCTGGCATATATTTTATTTTAATATTACAGTGGTGCCATATGTCATCATGACAGATGGACCATAAGGGCACTCAACTCAGGCAAACAGAAAAAGATTACCTAGTCAGAAAACAAACATTCCTTTATTTCCAACATTGGTGTGACAGAAGATAGAGGACCTTTCTAAGAATTACTGAAATTTCAAAAGTGCTACATTATTAAGGAATAAACTAAGAGACAGAAGCAATTTAGTGACCTACTGGAAATTCTGCACTTTACTGAGAGACATGATATTCCCAAGGTTTTTGATGACTTGAAAATCTCTGAGACTTGAACCAGCACCTCTAGATAGACCTGATTACATCTCATCATGATTGTATGATTCAATCTTTCTTGGCTGGGAGTCCTTCATGTTAAATGCTGAATGACATTTGAATATTCCCAATCATTAGAATCCAGCTTCTAGGCTTAAAAATTCTATTCCTGATAAAGTCTATTGAGACCTGTTCTATTCCTGATTAGGTGCTGATTAGTTCTGTGCAACTAGAGCTTAAGGTAAAAAAATAATAAATCAGAGAGACCAATACTTGAAAATAGTTGAGATTTCTTAAGTACTAATAATGGCTTCATTACTGTAGTGTACATTCTCGTTCATAGTCATCTTCACCACTAAATATGTGCAGCAGAGTATAAGCTTTACACATAAACCTGATAATCTATAACTGAATGTGTTATTTTTAATTTTATTTACCACTGGGAGATCCTGAAAAGCCTTGAAGATAAGGGATACTGAGATACTTCAAAACAATTTCATATTTATGAATATGTAAAAGCACCCTTTCAGGTTATTACATTATTTATCAGTTTATAAAATCTTTTTAAAATTAAATCCAGATATGCACTGTTTTTTTTATTTTTAATATGAATAAAATATTTTGTTTTCTACCAGCCTCAGTGTTTTATAAATGTGGAATTGCAGCAACTACTGCACTGCAACATGGGACATCTCACATAGAAATGGACAGCTCTGCAGTCTTAGATTGTGCTGCAGATATGCTATTGAGAAGCATCAACCAACATAATTAGTCTCTCTTCTGATGATTTTTCCCTTGGAGGGTCATTCTAAGTTTATTCCAGTCACTGATGTCACCACTGTGACATTTAATGTACATAATCCAGCTCACTACAGCATTTTCCAGTAACAAATTTCATTTGAATCTACAACACTACACATAAAACACTGTCTCAATTTTCAAACAGATTTATATGACAAGTTGTTGCTTCAATTGTAGAAATATCTCCTCCCTGATCAAATGCAGAAGAAAAATGAGATGCCATTGGGTTTCCCACACCACAAAAGCTAGAGCTGGCATGCTGAAAAGATGTTATTTTCTAAAAGAGAAATCCTAGGTAATATGTCAAACAGTATCACTTACACTAACATTACATTTATAGTAAATCGTATAACAATATGAAGGGAAAAAAAAAGAAGAAATTCATACTTCAAGACAAAAGGTTGTCAACCATTAAAATTGTCTTTCATGACACAAAAGTAACATTTAAACAAGCTTATTGAGAAACTAATTATTTGTAACATCAACTATAAAGTATGTACTATGGTAACCACTCATGTCAACAAGAGTTATTTTCTCACTGTAGGAGAAGAGCAGGTTCAAAACCATCTAAAAAACATGACAGTGCACAAGTCCATGGGACTTGCCAAGATCCATCTGTGGCTCCTAAGGGAGCCAGCAAATGAAATTGCAATGACAGTTTCCATCATATTTGAAAAGTCATGGCAGTCTGGTGAAGTTCCCATTGACTGGAAAAGGGGAAACATAACCCCCATTTTCAAAAAGAGAAGGAAAGAAGAACCGGGGAGCCACAGGCCAGTCAGTCTCACCTCTGTGCCTGGAAAGATCATGGAGCAGATCCTCCTGAAGGCTCTGCTAAGGCACATGGAAAACAGAGGTGGTTGGTAGCACGTACAATGGCTTCACCAAGGGCAAATCATTCCTGACTGATATGGTGGCCTTTTATGATGCAGTCACAGCATTGGTGGACAACGTAAGAGCAACTGACATCATCCACCTGGACTTGTGCAAAGCCTCCCCTAGGGACCTTGACAGGTGGGCCCATGCCAACCTCATGAAGTTCAACATGGCCAAGTCCTGCACCTCGGTTGGAGCAATCTCAAGCATGAATACAGGCTGGGTGGAGAATGGATTGAGAACAGTCTTGAGGAGAAGGACCTGGGGGAGCTGGTTGATGAAAAGCTCACCATGAGCCAGCAAGATGAGCTCACAGCCCAGAAAGCCAACTGTGTCCTGGGCTGCATCAAAAGAAGCATGAGGTCAAGGGAGGTGGTGATTCTGCCCCTCTACTCCAGTCTCATGAGACCCCATCTGGAGTACTGTGGCCAGTTCTGGAGCCTCAACACAGGAAGGACATATAGTTCTTGGAGCAAGTCCAGAGGAGGGCCACAAAGGTGATCAGAGGGCTGAAGCACCTCTCCTATGAAAGGCTGAGAGAGTTGGGACTGTTCAACCCGGAGGAGAGAAGGCAGCAGGGAGACCATGTGGTGGCCTTCCAGTGCCTGAAGGGGGCCTGCAGGAAAGATGGGGAGGGGTTTTTTACCAGGATGTGTAGTGAGCGTACAAGGGATAATGGTTTTAAGCCAGAAGAGGAGAGATTTAGGTGAGACCTTAAGAAGAAATTCTGTAGTGTGAGGGTGGTGAGACACTGGAACAAGTTGCCCAGTGAGCTTGTGGCTGGCCCTTCCCTGGAAGGGTTCAAGCGCAGGTTGGATGGGGCTTTGAGCAACCTGATCTAGTAGGAGGTGTCCCTGCCCATGCAGGAGGGCTGGAACTAGATGAACTTAAATTTCCCTTCCAACCCAAACCATGCTAGGATTCTATGATTCAGCACTGGATAACAGATTACTGACAATTCCAGACAGCTACAATATGTAATACTTGGTCAATTTTTGCACACATTTTCAGCTTTCAGAGGCAAAAGCTTTGGGCCATGTTTTTAGTGAAAAAAAGTCTTATGAATATTAACTACACTTATTTTCACAATTTTTGCTTTGAATTCAGCACCCTATTTGAGTAAAATCTCCATCAAGATGCTTATGTATGTCAACAAATGTGCTTATCAGTGGATTTGTGAACAGCAGAGACATTGACTAATTTTCATTATCAGTGTAGCGGAGATGAGAAAGAAGACCACTGAAAATTGTATATTAAGAAATAATATATTAATGTATTTACACAGCCTGCACCTCATGATAACTTTTTTTCTTTGGCATCCTGTAAATCATACTGAGCTACCAGTTCAGTCAAATGTCAATTAAGTCATAAGGAATTTAGCTTATAAATATAGTCCTCTTAGTCCCTATAAGATATAAATGTTGTTAAATTTTATTAGGCCTTGTTAGCTCATGCTGTGTTTGCGTGCATACATCACAACCTCACAATCTAGCTTGGAAGCATGAAGAAGCATTTCCCAAAACACTAAAAAATTAATTCTAGTAGTGACATTATTGATACCCACTTACCTTGAGATCACTTCCATTTAAGCACATCCTGTTTATGCGACTGCCATTTGGTCTGCTGGACTCAATCCAATAGATGAACTCTTCTCTATAGTCAAAGTCTATTGCAATCACATTGTTTAGTCCCTAAAAACAGGGGGGAAAAAAAGTCCCTGCATTGAAGTGTTTGAATACAAACTGACAGCATTTGGAATGCAAAATATATGGCATGTAATATTCAAAATGCTTCCTTTTACTGACTGCTTATTTTTTAAGTACCTCCCTCATTTTTTTTATACACTACTAGTAAACACATGAAGATAAAAATTGTAACAGAAATAAACTCTGAGTCAAAGACCTATCTCACTTAAAAATTGCAGATGACTCAGAAACTAAATGAAGCTTCTGTGGTTTTAATTTCTATTATTAAAATGAAGTTTAAGGGTAAATATTTTAACTTTTGTTCAATTTCTCTCTTAGTTCCTATGTTTGACGTTGTTTTGGCAAACTAGAAGACAATAATTTGCAAACAATAAACTCAGAAATAGCAAAAAATGGTATTATTTTACTTAACAAAACCATTTAATTATTAATAGAAATTAATCAGGAATTCAAAACTGTGGCATCCAAAACAGCATTAATTTTAATTCCTGAATAAGAATTTATAGAATTTATTATAGGTACATATACATGTGTGTGTACACACACACACACAGAGGTTTTCAAGCTGGAGATCCAGCAGGCATCTGGAAATCTCCTGTGACTCAAATTTCTAAGCCAATACTTTGTAAGAAAGAGTGATGATGGCATTTGAGGTCAGAAATAGCAATCATATAATAATGGATTTTCATCCCAAATGGCAGATAAGAAAGAGAGGTTATTGCATTCAGATGATGACTCCTATTTCCTTATCTGACAATAGGAAAGCCTTGCCCTACAATCTGCTTAACATTCTGCTAGGTAGTGAAATCACGATTACTCTTAATATACAAAGATGTGATTATCAATCAAAGATGAAGCAGCAGTGGTAAAAAGAAAAGATGCAGTCTGCACTCCTTTTAAAACCACAAGATCAGTTAATCAATTCTGTTATCAGCCCAATGCCATTCTACTCTCAGGTAGATCAGCAACCTCCCTCATTAATGTCATTCATACTTGTAGAGGGGATGTGCTGGTCTAGCCAACTCTAAAATAAACAACCAAGCACTATGATATTTAATTGTACAGAAAGTGATACACTGCTTATCTGCCAAGTACTACAGTGTAAATTTGTATTTTAATAAAAATGTAGAGGCAGAGTGATTAGGCTGTGTAAACCATCATTAAAGAAAGCCTTAAAAAATAGTGTTGGGAAACCATTCTCATTTTCAAGAAAACCATATCCATGCACACAAGGTTTTAAAAAAACCAAGTGCAGTTCTGTCAGTCATAACTATGCTGCAAAACACTTCTCCTGTCTTTTTCTCTTATTAGTAGAAATGCATGTACAGACAACCCTGCACCCCCAATTTTTAACAAAGGAGACAACAGATGAATGAACATGAGAGACTATCACAAATTTATAACGTTCTAGAAATCAAGGTTGGTATTTTGGGAAAAATGATACAGTTCTGTAAAAGTTTCTTGAGTATCCACTAATGAAGGGAACTGACTGCCTGCAAGTCTTTGGTTTTAAGTGTTTTATTTTGGGTCAGTTTAGTTCCAATACTTATCAGAGCACCAACTGCAGGTAACATTCTTTCTGCAGTAGAGTTATCTGTCCTGACAACATCTAGTTTTCATGACCTACATGTCAATTTTAGGTTCTTCTAGCATAATCCTTTGTCCTTTCTTGTGCAATCTGCTTCAACAAGGAATAGGGAAGTTTTCAGAAGGCATCAGCTGTATTAGTCCCTCACCTTAACCCTGTGGTTTTGCCTGTTTCTGTTACACACAGCACATGGTGCCCTAGGCTGTGATTTGTGTTCTCTTGGAATCCTAATTAAAAGTTATGCAGGTAAAATGCAAGAGGAAGATTCTCTCTGTCTGCACTGTCTATGGAAACCCTAAGGATTTGGATGACTAGGAGTGAAAGAAATGGAAGTCAAAGAACATATATGAGACAATTCAAACAGTTGTACTGTTTATGTATATTGGAAAACAAAACAAAAAAAAAAAAAGAGAGGAAAAAGCTGGCACGTAACAACTCAGAGGAGACTGGATGAACTCCTTTCAGCTCCTTTACTCTGAGTTTATATGAATAAGTGTTAGAATGGCAAAGCACAGATCAAATACACAGAGAAGGGTGGTTCTGACCCTTTGCCAGAGCAGCTCTGGTATTTGCCTTCATCTGGTAGAGATGTCTAAGAAAGAGTGGATCCATCATAACATTACAATAATGAAAAGTTCTCCTGACGAGGAAGACAGCCAACCTGTTCTGCTGGTATAGCTCCCCCTTTTGCTTTAAAATCTCAATGCTTTTAAAAATGTCATATTTGTAGGATCAAAGGCCAGCAGGTTCAATAGCACAGATATTTATCAGACTAGTGAATTAACGTGATATGGAAAACACAGATTCTCTTCAATGGCTGGAGCTACATGGTCTCTAATGTACTGAAGAGGAGTCCATTAAATTCAAGACTGATGAAGCTCTGAGCCAACCTGTCAGCACCAACCATAAAGAAAATTTACTGTTGCTCCCCTCTTTTCACAGGCTTCTATTAATAGATGTACCAGCAAAAGAGGAGAGAGGCAGTGAGATGTAAATGAGAGGCATTCAGAAGGATTTCAGAAGAACAAACAGACTTTAACATAACACTTGCTATGCTTAAATAAAGCCCATATGTAATGCAAGATGGTTAATTTTGTAATTACTGTCATGAAGACACGAACACCTCTCTTGTGACATTAAGATGCACAGTTACTGACACAACAAGTCACAAAAAGCCTAACCCTATTGTCTGTCATAGCTGATTTTTCTAGTCTTTCTGCAGTTGATTAATTAGTACTCAATAAAACATGTTTTGATTAAAACATAGTTTGGAACTCTACCTTACAGTAATTAACTACACTTAGGTGAAGCACAGAAGTAGCACAAACTGCTAGAATGACAGCTTTGTACTAACTGGGTGACTTTCTATTTTTGCAGTTTCCCAAATAAGTTGTTTGTTGATTATTTTTTTTTCCCCTGTGATCATAATTTAGAGAAATTATTTTAAAAGTTAGACAGAACCAAAGATACATGTCCTTGTGCTGCAATACCGTAAATCTTGGAATTTTGTGTCTAAGTCAATGAATAGCTTTGGCTTATGACAGTAAGTAGCCCAAATAATACATGGCCAAATTGTCCTGGGTTTTCTTAAAAAACGGAAATATCTAAAATTGTGCAAAACAAATTGTGACAGAAGAGGATCATAATTAACAATTTTTTTAGCATATCAGAATGACTGAGAAAACAACTGCCTGAGCTTTAATCATGTCCAACTCAGATAAATTGGTCAGTTTATTATAAAACCAGTGAAGGTACTGCAGTTGTTCTACAGTGCACACAGTGCCAATTTAGAATGATGTTACTGTCAGTTGCACACTTTAGAAAAGAACAAAAGTATTGAGTTAAACTTAGAGCATGGTACTAAGATTATACCTGTTTCAACAAAGTGTAGTTGGATCCATCAGTGCTAATTTTTCTTATTTCATGATGATCAGCCAGAATTAAGAAAGGTTCCTCATCTAAACCCCAGGAGAAAGAATATATTAGACTAGCTTTTACGTTAATTTATGGAAAATCAGGAATACAATGCTGAAATACAGATGGTTTGAAAAATAAATGTTACATGCTCTGATCAATGTTATGGATGAAAGAAATATTTAAAACATTCAAATGTTCCAAGAAAGATCAATGATGCAGTATAAAAATGAACAAAACAATCAATTAGTATATCTTTCAATGCAATTTAATTTTTTTTGCCTTTGTCATATGGGAACCATTCTGTATTTTATGCTAATTTAATGTCAGAGATTCCATTTGAAATATATTTCATACATATTGTTTTAATTTCAACATTCACTTCCAAATTATCACTAAGACTATTATTTGTTACAGTAGTAAATAAACCATTTCTTTCACTACTGCTTTTTGAGATTTCAGTACTCTGAAAATTACAGACAAAGAAGCAGCTATTTGAACAAATATTGATTCTCTAACTCTGAACTGAGGCCAGATTTGGCTTTTTTACCCCTGGCTTTCTAGTTTATAAAAAAAGTTTTCCTTCAGATACTCATTCATGTCATCACTTTGAAACATCTCTGACGCTGACATAAATAATAATGAAAAAAAATAAAATTAAATGCTGTCTTTATTTTAGCTCTATTAACAGAGATCTCAGCAAAAATTTAAAAAAAACCAACAAACTAATAATAATTTAAAATATTTTTGAGACTTGTATCTACACCTCATACTTCCTGGAATGTAATGTAGTGTCCAACCTACTCTGCTTTTGAACTGAATATATCATACCACCTTCCTTGCATTTTATGTTCAACTCTGAAGGGTTTCTTCAGTTCTTAAATGATCTGAGGCATCATCCTCAGCACTGCTAGTGGTTTAGGAGAATGGCTGGGCTGCTCTGCTCTGTTGTTAACAGTTCAAAGCAATTCGTGCAAGAAATCAGTGTTAGACCAAACATTCCCTCATTGGCTTCTCCTCACAGCACAACCATCCTTGCCACCACACAAACAGCTTTGTCATGATCACTTTTGAAGTTTGATATATTACAGCTCCAATAAACTGTACCATGATGTGTTCCAGCTCCCTTCTCATCTGAGTGATCTATGCCTTCTAAATGTACAAGTGGCTCGCAAGGAATGAGACGGGAGTAAATAAAAAACCAGATCCTTTATTTCTGCCCTCTCCTGTGCTTTCTCTGATTACTCAGGGAAGCAGCTGAGACAGGAACAGGAGGCAGACAGAGGCCCCAGTCTTCTTGCCATTTAGAAAGAAAATATAAGGTTTTTTCATACTTTAAAAACAACCCCAAAACACAAACAAGCTGCTTTGTTCAAGAGTGGAATAGGGAGGTGTCTGCTCAAGCTGAAGACTGCCTGCACAAAAAGGAAATCCAGCAGAACACTGAAATGGGTTTTTTGTTTCTTTCCTGTTGACATTTTGCTCTTCCTTTCTCTGATCTAGTGAATCTTACTCACTGAAGCACATAAAACTAACATCAGTGGCATAGACAGAGGGATGAGGAAATCACCAATGTTCTTCTATGTCTTGAACTTTACTCTGTATTACGTGCAAGGCTGGAGGATTTTATTTGTTATTGGAATAATATTTTCCAATTTCTATTATTTTTTCCTCTTCCTCCTTTTAACACCTCCTTTTGACATTCTTATATTCTAAAGTTGATTAAGTAAAACAGCAGAAGTTTTTCAAACCCTTATCATAAACATACTATTCTAATGGGAATCAGAAGTAGAATTAAGAGATTAATTAACTTTCCTAAATTAATTACTGAAGTGAATTAATTTTCCTAAAACCTTTTTAATAAATTTACCAGTTTCAACGTTCACAATCCTCTGCAACTATTAATACATACTAAAAATAGAACTTACTACATTCAGACATTGAGTAACACTCCTATAGTTTATTGAAGAAGCAGGTGAGCTTCAGAGTAACTCTGTGTATCTTGCATAAAGAGGTAACGTGGACCTTGAGGCAATGTTATTTCTCAAATTACTTTGGATACAGCTTTGAATTTTAAAAAAACCCAAGCAAACAATAATAAAGTGATACCTGAAAGGGACTTGCAGCCATTTAGGTTATCAGGCTGTATTTCATACCCATCTGCACACAAGCATTTGTATGTTCCATATGTATTGATGCATTGCTGGCTACAGGGAAATCCAGTAGAACATTCATCAATATCTACACATGTTTTGCCATCATCCTTCAGCCGGAATCCAGGCCAGCATTTGCACTGGGAAACAAAACCAAATATATTTGTTTTGACTTACTCATGGATTCTGTTTTTTTTACCTTATATACTTTATTCTGTATGTGTTAGCAACATCATTTTTTTCATGTAGTTTACATTCTTCAGGTATCACCTTAATTACATTGCTTAATTACATTGCTATTGTTCACAGGTAGACACAGCTACACTTCTTTTCAGTTACATCTGCTGTGATCCTAAATAGTGTTCCCTCCCAAATAACCCTGTCAAATGAAGAATTACTCTTTCTTCTTTAACTGAAGTAAACCACATCTTTTCAAAATACGAAAGGAAATATGAAAAGGTGAAAATAATTATGGAGGGACCTTTCGGAGTTCTTAATTTTCAAGTACACCTGAGCTTTTTGGTAAATGTATAGTTTTTATAGTATTTCTTGAAGAATAGATAACATCCAGCATTCTGGGTAACAGACACACGGAGATGAACGAGAAATCTGGATGGCAATTTTTATTGGGGTCTGTTGACCACCATGGGAAGCTTATCACGTGCAACATGACTGATGGCAAATGCAACAGGGTAGAGGGTTTCTGAAAGAGGTTTTACCAAAGGAAAATGTGTGTCATGTTCCCTCCGTTATTCTCTGCAGAGACCCAGAACATGCTTTTTCCACGACGACTCTCCTTCAGCAAGGTTTTGCTGTGCCCAGCCTACTCTCCAGCTCTCTGGTCAGTGGCCTCCTGACATAGGGTTTTCAGAGGTTTCAATACTTTTCGAGATAAGTCACATTGGACAGATTTTATTTAGTCCTCAGTGTGACAACAAATAATGGGACATTTAGAGGTGGAGCTGGGGATACTTTAGAATTGTAAAAACGGGGAAAAAAATCTCTCTTCTGTTCTCAGCTTCTATTTGCAGGTCAGTGCAGTAAGTGGCTCAGGATTACATAATACCCAAGGACTATTCCTCTCTACATCTGAAGGCTAAGGAGCAGATTCAGGTGGTTCAGAAAACACCATCACACGCAGACAACTAAAGAATTTATCCTCCAACTAAGGCTATTATGTTTTATTTAATTTCTGTAAGTGTCTTTGACTTAGAAAATAATTTGGAGAAAACTGTTTTTCCTGCCATTCACTCCCATCTGTCTTCCTTTCTCATAATTGATTTTCAGTGCTCTGTACACATCAGTATGATTTGTTGTGTTTAAAGAATTGTATGTTCTTTTCCTTAGGTTAAAAGTATGTATTGTACCTTTCTTTTATATACAATTGGCAATGGTTTGCTAAATGGAAACAAAATTTAGATACTTTGGAACATAAGTTATTTCCTAACAAGGAAGTACAACACCCTGGAGTTTAATTATAATCACACAGTAGTTAAGAGACAGTTAAGAATCAGCAACATATTACACCACATTTTGTAATTATTTACCTTGTATCCAACAGGAAGATCCTGACAATCCTGAGAACAGCCACTAACTTTCTTACTGAGGCATTCATTAATGTGGCAGCTTTTCTCATCAGATCCATCACTGCAATCTTCTTTGTTATCACAGACATTGCTTTGAGGAATACACTTGCCATTTTTGCACATAAAAAAAGAGTTGTTACATGACTGCTCTGGAAAACAAAACAAAGAGAACATGACTTGGTGTAGTCTATTTGTACTTGGAATCAATTTTCTCATGGACCAGCTGCAATATATGCATGTGAGATGAAACAACCGTGTAAAAATTGAATATTAATTTCTTATTGATAGCATTGCAACACCTTTTACATGCCAGTGTCTGTAAAGCTTTATTCCTCTCCTGGAAAATGTGTGAATACTTCCAATTATTATTCCTTCCTACACATTTGTTTTCATCTAATTGAGAATCTTCTACATTATGTCTGTACAAAACAGAGTTGTACAATTTGCAAAGCTTTAAAAGCATGGCTGCTTCTCCTTGTAGCTGCTGAGGATTTTACTAACATTAGTGACTGGATGCTGATGCACTTCATCTCTGAAGACACATGGACATGTTTTTATTTTCCTATTGGGCACAATCTAAATACCTCACCTCAGCTGTATTCAGGTTCTTGAAATCAGACTGAGAACACTGACTTAAAGTGGTTTAAAGCAGGTATTTTGCCTTCCCTCAAAGCAAATGTGCAATTGCTATAAAAACTGGTACAAAGGGCTGTACAACATGTCTACTGCACAATAAGGTTGTAAGATTCTGGATCTTTCAAAAAGCTACAGAATAGGACATGATATATATATACCAGGATTCATTTTCTACTCAAAACTGTGAGACATCAGCAACCTTATGCCAGTAGAAAATATCAATTGGCAGAAAATCACATTTGGTCAGTAATTTGCTACAAAAAATAGACCAGTGTTTACTAAAGGAAGAATAACCTAATTTCCTTTTTTGTATGGTTCACTTCTGTGTGATGAGTAAAAAAATATATGAACAGTTTTCAGGGGAAACTATCAACTTTGACACTAATTACATTAATATTTTCTTATTTTAGTACTAAAAGAATGACTGCATAGATGAACTAGCAGCTCTTATACCGTTGGAACTGGTGGCTGCAACTTTGTGAGCTGAGGTTTTGGATGCTTAGGACTGACAACACACTCTCCTTGCAAGACATAAGGAATATCACCATGAAAACACTGGAGGTTTAAGCTAGGAGGTTTGACCAATCCTAAACCACTGCTTGTCAAAAAGAAAGGTCAAACAACATTATTTAAAAAATTCAACACGAACCTGAACTTTTGCATTTTATGTTTATAGGTGCTTCATCAGAATGGTCTGGGCAGTCAAAATCCCCATCACATTGCCACTGGGAATTCAACAGGCATCTTCCATCAGCACAGGTGAATTCTCCAGGACGACAGTGACGATACCCTAGAAATACAGCACTCAATGACTTCACACTTCCAAGCTAAAATTGTGCACACACAAGGCAATGTAAATATATTTTGTTCTGCAAAAAGATACAAAGATTTTCATGCTTGTATACACGTCTACCAAGAAACAGAGAAATCAAATGTCTCTTATGCAGCACAGCATAGTCACGAAACAACTCCTACATATGTAAAACATAATTATGCAGCTCTCAATCATAAATACATTTTCTTGTAGATGTAACTAACTTTTTGCTATTATTAGGAAATAGTTTTCTAACGGACATTCTAGAAATTACTATGCCCAGCAGATATTCTTGCAATATGCTTTCTACTATCTGCTTTCTCTTTAAAACATGCAGAGCACTAATCATTTTAACCACACTCAACATGCACTTTCTAAGACAGCTACAAAATTAAGTGTCTATAAAATATATACATTTTCAAAGTTAAAATGGATTTCTAACAGAGAATTTTAATATATAATGAAGCAAAGAAACCAGAGAGGTATTTCCTTCTTAAAACACTTGGAGTGTTTATCCTAGAGTTCAAAACAAACAAAGAAAAATTGATAAAAGTCAGCAAAAAATTTAGTTTTTTCTATTCAATTTGGAAGCATGAAAGTTGAAAAATTCCCAGAGGAAACTCACCTTCTATTTCTAAGATTTTTACTTGTAAGATTCAGTACACAAAACCAAGTGCTACAAAACTTATGTTCCTGTTTGGAAAAGAAAAGTGTAACTTTTCCCGTATTCTAGGTGTATAAATTTTGCCTCAAACTCTCCATAGTCCTTTAAAACAGCTTTGAAAGTAAGCCTTGATTTATTTAAAACTCAAGAAAAAAACAGTATGTAGCATAGATCACGCCTGAAAAGAGATAGGCTGGCTTGATATGGAAAGCTTTATACGGTTGTCTGAGTCACCTTTGAGTGCAAGATTTTACAGACCAACAGCTTTACCTGATGTCTGCAACATTTCACAGGCATGTCACCATCAGAAAGGTCATTACAAATGTGCAGAACAAGGGCTCCTGCTTAATATTGCCTCTGTTCTTGATGACAGGACATAAAGAAGCTGGAAACCAAAACCAGGAAATCCTTCCTATTCCTGTATTTGTCTTTTGAGTAGCCACATAAACAAAGCATTTAATCTTCTTGATGTAATTTCATATTCTTGAATAGAGGTCCTAAATATTTTTTTATTATCAAGAACATAAGAAATACCTTGCAGGATGAGACAGTTGCTCACCTAGCTTGGTGCTCTGTCTCCAGTAGTTGCAATAGGAGATGCACCTTAGGGAGAAGGTATTTTGTCCTCACGTTCTCCCCAGCTTGAATTATTGCTATATTTTTGTTTACACACAATTATTCATAATTCATTTAAAAGAGAGGCTTATGTAATGGAATCAAACTTGTCTCAAAGAACTTTTAAAATCTGTTTAGTCTGATACCAGTAAAAACCAAACTCCAATCACCAGTCCCGTTTTTACATTACATCTGAATTATACTCTGGTAAAAAACAAGAAAATTGACCTTTCTATTCTATAGACAGAAAAATAAACATCTAGCTTTTTGAATGGATTCCCTTCATTCAGCTTTTAGGAATATATTTAAAACCAAATTTCATCCCATTCAATACAGATTTTTAACTGCACAAAAACAGCCTTATATTTTTGGGTGGAATCTTTGCTCTATATTTTCCGTATCTATTATTTATTTAGATGAATGTTTCAGAGTATGGCCTAGATATACTGTACAGTCAATGACATAAGAAATCCAAAATTCATATGAATGGTAAAATTAAACAACTACATACAGCTTTAGTTGGTACCATTTAACTGAAGGAATAGCCAGGACAGTGATGTTTCATTATTTGATAGAAAAAAAATGTGTACAGAGACAAAGACAAAAAAAAAAGATACATAACAAACCAGAAATTATAGACTGTACATTTTAAACTTCTGTTATGTTATTAGCAATCAACTGTAAGTCACAACTACATCAAAGAATTTGTCACTGTAGCTCCAGCTCCAAGTTAATAGCATGTTGCATTCATTAATGCATAATTTAAAATTTAACATTAAAACAATTTTTAAAAAGAGCTTTCTTTTTCAATAAGGATTTGAGGCAACAACAGTCCTTGCAGAAGGCCTTATAGTTAACAGTCTGAATTTTTTCTGTTTACTCGACTTTTGTTATACTTGCCACATTCCAGAGATTCATCTGATCCATCTCCACAGTCATCATCATGGTCACATACGAATTGTTTGGGAATGCAGACTTTGTTATGGCACATGAAAGCATTCTCGTCACAAGTGTTATTAGGAGCTAGGGAAAATACAGTACAGAAAAATGAATTACATGACTTAATTAATAGCCACTTTCTTACAGAAAAAGAAAGTAAGACCAGTTAATCTGAGTGAATTCAATGGAAGTAACCACAAGTTTTGAGTCATACAAAGAGCAACTGAATAGCAGAAAAAGCTCCTCATCACCACCAAGATAGCTAAAGTAGTAAGGATCACTAAAATCCATGTAATCCAAGACAGAAAGGCTTCAGAAGTTGCTGCTGCCTACAACTAAGCTAAGATCTGCCTCAGAGGAAAAGAACATTTGGGAAGCAGAGATGTCCTTCCTACGTGACTCTGCTCCTGAATAAAAGCAGCTCTTTGAAATCTGTAAATACTCAAAATATGTCTCAGCCCAGAAAAGGATAAGTGATAAAAAATGCATACAGTGGACAGAACATATTATAACATTTTTAACCTACACCATTTTAACATATATTAATCAAGCAACTCCCCTAATGAAACTACTACTGAACTCCTGACTCTTTTAATAGAATTGCATCTCAGAAGACTGGACATAAAGAGTTTATAGGGCAAGAGATGTCAAGATCTGAACAATTAACCAGAATAAATCAGAGACAGAACTCTGTCTCCCCTTTTGATACACAACCTCCTTGACATGCAGCAGCATTTTCTCCAGGAAGAGGAATAAAAGTGCATAGTCAATAATATGCTAATTTTAATTAGCAAACATGCTGTATAATGTCTATGACATGGCACACATACTGATCTTCAGCTGGTGTGCTTCAGTATACATTAAAAAAATCTGAATATATTAGGCATATTTAAATTTTGAAGGATCTTGATATGCATGTTTATGTGGCCCATCCATCTTCATAAACAATTTTCACACTATAAGGGTATGACACTACAGACAGAAACAGCATCTGGATATTGTAAAATCAAAACCACCAAAAAAGCCAACTATTGCACATCTGTAACAGGCAAACATACCACAGCCTGCTGCTGCCAGCTCATCACTTCCATTAGGACAGTCCCTTTCACCATCACAAAGCCAGTGCAGGGGGACACAGGCATGGGAGCCCAAGCAACTGAACGTATCTGCTGCACAGGTCACTGAGCCTGAAAAAAACATCACACGAGTGTCTCAAACATGTTCTGCTTTTTTTTTTTTTTTTTTAAGGCAGTGGGTAATGACCGAGTAAGAGATTGTTATTTCAAAACAGAGCTTGGAGAAGATTTTCTTCTGCACATTCTGATAAACACACTGGCTAAGTGTATTTGACAGCAAAATTTTGACAATCTGCTATTTCTTCCATTCTTTTCATTCATCCAGTCTAATTTTTTTTCAAGGAAATCTAATTTACCACACTTCATAAAAGCTATCCAGCAGAATAACTTTTCAAACCAATTGTAGTCTTCACGTTTGACTGTATGTTTGGACTGATCAAACAAAGGAACTAATCTTGTAAACCACATAATCCTCACATCACTACATGCCAGGAGGCTAAAGGTACTCAAACTTGCATGAGTCAGTCTCATGCAGAAGGGAACAATCTGTACCAAGCAGAATAGTAGTGGGAGTAAGAAAATGTCTGACAGTTACTAATGCAAATATCCCAACATATTGTTTATTTAACTTTTTTTTTCTTCTCTTTTTTACAGTTTTTTTGTCAAAAAATTATATCCTAACATTAATTTGACTCTGATTGAAAGTAAACTTTTGTGCAATCCATCACTTAATGTATTGCCTTACATAAGTTAAACACACTTCACTTTAAAGGAAAGTGTATCTTCTACTAATTTTAGAAATTAATAAAACAGTAAAACAAATCTTTAAAATTACTTCTTGTACTATTTATGGAAGGGAAAGAACTTTGCTTCTTTATTTATTTGCCATTTCTGATACCTGTGATGTTGATGTTATATTCAATGTTAAATAAATATTCGTTTTGCAAGACTGAAAAATCTGATGTCATCTTGATCTCTTTTTTCTTCTTGCAATTCTGATCTGCCTCCTGTTCCTAAGGAAAAATTCAGCCTTAACAGCCCCTTTTTCTTACATGGTGTGGACTTTTCCCTTTTCAAGAGATGGTTCACAACTCTATGGGTGATGTTTTTTCCTAATAAGAGATCTACAATGTATTGCAAGTGAAGATAGGAAGAGTAGTAATTCTGAACAACTTTTTAAAATAAAAATAAAAAAAAATAATTAAAAAAGGTATGTTGTGGTGACACTTTGCAATTTGCTGGCCTTTGTTTTCCTATCCTATTTTCTATTTTCTTCTCTAAGTCTCCTATTAAAGAAACTGATGTTTCTTAAGGCTTCATATAGCAAGGCTTTTATAGCAGTCAGATGAGGTGCTTGTCTTCCCATTTCACATCTTTTCCTTTTCCTAGAGGAGAGAGGCTGAGAGAAATCTCTCCTTTCAAACAAACATTGCTTTCAACTCCCAAGTCCTCAGCATTACTTGAATACCATTAAAAAAAATAATAAAAAATATATATATATATTGTGGATGGTTGTCAGCTTGAAGCTAATGTATTAATTAATTAATACATTAGCTTCAAGCTGACAACCATCCACAATATATATATATATTGTGGATGGTTGTCAGCTTGAAGCTAATGTATTAATTAATTAATACATTAGCTTCAAGCTGACAACCATCCACAATATATATATATATTGTGGATGGTTGTCAGCTTGAAGCTAATGTATTAATTAATTAATATTTTGTCATATAGGAATGGTGTAGTTTCCATCTTAATTAATTTAATTCGTTGACATTTCTCCATCTATGTTTAAGAAATTACTCTAATAAACCACAACTCTGAACAACAGCTGAAGAGATTTATTCTCTACCTACTTGCCATTTCTAGTAAAGTTAACAATATTTTTATTACAGTATCACATGAAATATGGAAGAAAAATCTCTTTGTTGAGTGGACTTCAAGTAAGATTACTTTTGAAAAGAAAAAAAATACTTAAAAGCTGAGATTTTAAAAAGAAAATACTAAAATACAGGATAGATAAAGGTGGAATCAATATATAAAATCATGTGAAATTGTAACAGTCAGACTAGACATAATATGATTTTCTTCTGAAAATAATTCACTGATGCATTTCCAGTCAACTGAGCCCTAGAATTAAAGTAAAATTTTCAATTGTTTATGGGATTTGAAGGTTTGGGCATTTGTAAGGAGTATTATGCAATAATGTTTATGACTGTATATACAAAAATTTAACAGGAACAGGAGAAAGACCTGGAGAAAAACCCCACAGCTTTAGATTCTTCAGGCTCCTACTACTGAAATGTAGAATTCAGCTGCAATACAGGTTTTTATCCCAAGAATAGGGATCGGAGCAAAGTTTGGTTCTCCTTTGCCCACATTGATGTATCATTCATATTGTTACTGAGAGACTACACAGAAATTATACAGCCCACATAAAAAGGTATCTAGCTGCTGGTTGGAGTGGGCTGGGGGAGGATATTTTCTAATACTGTATCCTTAAAGTACATGCTCTTTGGAAAGGGAACAAGTACAGCATCTCCACCACCTTCCTGGATCACTTGGTATCTTTCAGTATTTATGGTCTAACACAATACAGAAAGAAAATTATTCTACTTACCACAAATAGCATCACTTTCATCTAAACCATCTCCACAGTCATCCTCTCCATCACAAGTCCATTGCTTGGAGATGCATTTGTTGGCAGAACAAGCAAATTGATTCCATGAGCAAGATGAATCTAGGGATGACACCAGGCACTGCATTTGTCAGGTTCTCACAAGTGCTGTGTTCCCTTTATTTCCTAGCATAGTTTAGGAATCTCCACACTGCTCCTTTCTGTCCACCCCACTTTAGTGTATTTAAACATAGTATAATCCTCATCTTGGCATTCAGGATGTTACCAGTTTGTACAATGGTTTGCATTCACCAGTGCTTTTATTGAAGTAAATAAATGAATCAATAAATAGTGAATCAGTCTAAATTCTTACATTTAAAATTTTTGAAACATTTTGGTAGTGAGATAAGAACAAACACTTTAGAAACTTAAGTCTGGTTTGTATATTGTGACTGTAGGGAACAGCTTGATTTTGGTAGTATGGCAGAGATGGCACAGTCCAGATTTTCCAGCACAGCCTTACTCTTGGTGTCACTGTATCTACTGTGTCTTTAAATGATCTTATGTTCTTGTCTCTCACACCAAAGCTTGCTCTGTCATCCCATTTACACTTTTGTGTACCTTGAAATTAATGGCATCCTGCATTTCAAAATCAGTCTGTGCAACTGTTCTAAAGAAGTGCTACTGTTATGACCTTTCCTGAAAACTTAAAAACATCTGCTTTTTCAAGACCTGTTTCTTTAAGGATAAATTTTAACTGATGACAATAAATGTTAGCAATAGAAAGAAGCTAAGGTAATACAATCTGAATTTAAAAGCAGGGTGTTGTAACAATTACCTCAAAAAGGGTAAGAGTGGGGAAAAAAATAATTTACAAAACCCCCTTTCCTCTCTCCCACCAAAACTAGTTAATAGATTTCACAATATTGCATCTGAGTATGTATGTGTAATAAAACCTGGAAAGGAATGTGGTCAACACAAAATCTTCTGATTTTTATAGCACAGGGTAGCTTCTACTTTTGAAGTTAGAAGATGTGTAAATACAATGTAAACTACAAACCAAACATGGAGTCATGTTGATGGAAACTGGGTCATGAAGAGAGTAATGTATAATTTTCAGTCATGCTCAGTGGTATAAAAAACAAAATAAAACTTCAGGTTTTATTTAAATGGAGAATAGGAAAACTTAATACTACCTTTGCTCTTCTGATACAATTTAATTATAGGAAAAATCAGTTTCAGTAATCCAGAAAAACTTAAGTTAAAAAAAAAAAAATCAGCTCTCCCTATGAGCAAAATCAAATTGCATCACTGTTGTTGTTACTTTAAATATTTATACCTGTATGGCCTCTGATGCAAAGAAAGGTCTATTTTTTATACCATAAAGGTGTATTTTGGTTAATTCCTCTTGGGGTCACAGATATTGATATTATCTGATTGTATCTATAAAACTGCCCTAATGAGGAATTACAAAAAATTAGTGAAATTGTTATCTATTAAAGCAGTAGAAAAGTCTGGATTCAAATTAATCTCTAGGAGAAAAAAAAATAAAAATAATAGGGCTTTTATTCTGGAATAAGATGGGATTTAAGATATTGGCAGGGTATAAAACAACTGAATCTGAAAATGTAGCTCTAAATTTAGTCTTTGAGATATAAATGCACACTTTTTTCTGTTTTTAAAGTGCATTAGTGCTTACAGAAATACAAACCAGAAAATGCTCACCACAGTGCAATTCATCTACTCCATCCTCACAGTCTTTCTGCCCATCACAAAGCCAGGTGGTCAGAATACATCTTCCACTAGGACAACCAAAATAATTTTCTTCACATGTGGGTTTGTTTTGAACTGTGATAAAATAAAGAATGTAATGTAAAATGGTCTCTACTAGTATGATTAGGAGCCTAATATATTTCTGCTAAATTTTTGAATATTAGTGGACAAAGTGTTTATGTCTAAAAATGAAAAAAAAAAAGGACTATTTTTATTATTTGTGTTCAAACAAATTAGAAAATAGTGATAGCTAAGTAGTTTAGGGAACTGAAATACTTCATTTGGAAAGAATCAGAGCGGATCTTCAAACTAAATGAAAAGGACTTAGAGAGGAAAGTACTTCAGTTCACTGTTTTGAGCTCAGGTAGACCAACATTGCTTGTTGTTTTACACCAGCTGAAAAAATTGCCCTTCTAATCTATCTGCCAGCAGCTACAAGATAACCTGATTTTGGCATTAATTTTGTCACATTCACTGGGAAAAGCTACAAATCTCATGCATGCACTGACTAACTGGAGTTACACCACTGATGCTGGAGACAGATTGCAGATAAAAAAATGGTCTTCCCTGCCTTTTTTCTCTGACGAGTGTGAAATTCAGTTAAGATTTTACTTTTCTGAATGCTTAGAAAACAGAGTGAGGAAAGAAAGCATATAATATGTTCAGTTTTATGACCTAAGCACAAATATTAGTCTAATGAGCGGCACAGGTCATTTTCAAACTCTCAAGAAAGACCTTTGCCTGGGAAAACCCAAGCAATATGTACTAGTTCCAAGCACTGGAGATCACTGTAGCTCTCTGCCAAGGTTTCTATCAGTACTTTAATGTATTGGAATTAGCAGGGAGGGCCCCCATCTTAAAAAAGAAAGTTAAAAGTTATCATATTTATGGCTTTTACAGCTGTATGAATAGAAAAAAAAGGAAAAAATAAAATAAAATAGAAGTGATATGTCTATGATGACTGGGTAGATATTAAAGATTATCTAAGAACAGCCACATCTAAATGGATATTTTGCCTTAATTTTCTTTAAGAACAATAACACTGAAGAATGACTTTTAATGGAAATTCTCATATTTATAATAGAAAAAAAAAACATTAAAAAACTGAACGTTCCAAAGTTGGTCAGTTATGAATGAAACTGCAAAGGAAATGGAAATCACATGTAAGCTGAATTGGAATGGTATTGATTCCAAGTCAAGAGAGGAATGATCCAGACAATTAGTCACACAGTAAAATGATGGAAGTTTTGGACACCCATTTTAAAGACAAAAGAACGTAATACAAATAAATAGATGATGGAATAAATTTAAAAAAAAAAATAAAGCCTTAAGATGGGACATGAGTCTGCTTCTTATTTCCTCCATGTAAGATATTTATCTCAGTTCTTGTTGCTATTGATTCTTTGCCCATCTTTATTTTAATAAGCTTTTCATATGATTCAGTTTGCAAGACACTAAGCTTATGTTTGTTTTGGGGTTTTGTCCTAAATGTTGTGTAATATATTTCCCATAGGAGAGCAGAAAAAGACAGTGAAAACACAGAAAACTAAATAACTCTTCCTTTTCTGGAAGACTACAATCTCAGCCCTGGGACTGGGAGTCAAGTATACCATGATCTCTTTGTACCAGCTGAAGACCAGAACAATCACAAAAGCAATAACCCTGGATTCTACCCCTGGCAGCCTATGCCAAGTACCTCAACAAAATAAAAGAGAACATTCCAAAAGTAAACAAGAGAAGAAATATAATCCACTAAAGTAGCACCTAATGTAAGTTCCAGAGTGATTGTGCTGAAGCTTGATGAGCTTGACACTTCAATGACTGATGTTTTACTTAAATAAAAATGATTAATGATAGACCTAATCTTGAGGAAATAGTAAGCCAGACATTACAGTTTTCTTCAGAGAAATGCATGAGTATTTTGCAAAAATTTGCATAATCTGATGAAACACAAAACAAAAATTGGTGAAAAAAACTGCATTCAGCATTATATTAATTTCTGTATTAAAGAAAACATTATTTAATATTTAATAATATTGAAAAAACATTTTGCACCACAATTAGGAAAAACAAACAGAATGATAGGAATATATTTTAAAACACTATATTTTTTTTTCTTCTTTTTCAGTTACCTGGGCATTTTAGTTCATCTGTATAATCTCCACAGTCATTAGATCCATCACATATCCATTCTGGCAGTATACAAAGTGAAGTAGAATTACAGCTAATAAATCCTGAAGATTTTATTCCAAGTTTGTAGAAGTAAGCACAGTTTGTATTATCTGGAAAGAAATAGTAAATCACAATATTACAAAAGATTGAGAGCCTTCTAGTTTGGTTTTCAGGTTTAGCTTGAGTTGATGCAGAACATGCAGCTGCTTGTATCCAACTAGTAATGACTGAATTAACTGCTATATAGTAAGGAATAATCATGGAACAGCTGCTATGATGAAGCACAGACAAACACCAACTTACTGCAGTTCTTTTCATCAGAAGCATCTGCACAATCAATGATCTGGTTGCACTGTGCTGATTTTCCAATGCAAATCCCATCTGCACAATGGAATTCTGTTGAAGCACATGTCGAATCTATAACACATGGTTATAAAAGATGTAAATTTGTGTACTGAACAAACTCTTCAGATGCACGTTTAAGTACTGTGTTTAAATCTTCTGACTTTTAGGATGAGACAATCAGAACACACTGTACCTTCCATACCTAAAAATTGAGTAGAAATATAAGGTCTAATAAACTTGAAAGCATAAGGTTCTAATTTTAAAATGTATTTTTGAGCCTCTAAGCTTCTCTCTATATAATTCATATCAGTTTGACCTAATCACCATGTGAGGAAAGAAGAAGCAATTTCAGGACCATCTCTGAATCTCAGACTTCTTTCTGTAACACCAGGTTGGGTTTTTTCCCTGTATGGTTTTTCTCTCTATTCATATTCAGCTAAATGATTGAAAATCACGTAATGCTTTAAAAAGAAAGGGCTTGTTACTACAGCTACATAGGTTTTTGTTATAAATTGAGGAATAATTTCCTCTCCAATCTCTCAGAATCATAACTAAGGATTTGTGTTGTCTGCTAGCTAGTCTTTACTCTTTGGCTGATGCACAGATGTAAATATTAATGTTTAAAGACATAAAAAGAAAACAAATTCTGATACAAAAAGGAGAACAATTCTAGAAAGTTTTGCAAAGGACACAGACATTGCATTGCATCTGAAATGCAAGGAAATAGAACGTTAGCTGATTCAAAGAAGAAACAGATGCAGAGAAGAAATCTCCCATCTTTCAACTTTCCTGTCCATGGTAAAGATACTCTCTCATTTATTGTTTCACAGAAGAAGCTGCAACCATATTATCTGAGTTTTCCATTGCCAAAATCACTCTCCTTCTAGAGGAATGTAGGTGTAAATTAAAATTGGTCTTCATATCAATCCCAAAATATACTCACTCAAACACATCAGTGTGCACCTCCTTGGCTTTGAATTCTAAGAAAACCAGTCCTAGCAGCTGTAATTCCAACCGAGTTATATGCATTTTTTCGCTATTTCTATTTACATCCTGGTTATTTTGAAAGCAATACACTGAAACCACCTTGGAAGTAACTGTCACTTACCTTTACAGTCAACCTCATCAGAGTTGTCACCACAGTCATTTGCACCATCACATACTTTGTTACTTGACACACAGCGACGATTAGTACATGGCTTGAAACCCTTCCGACAGCCTCTGTTTTCTGGAAAGTTAAGTGCAAACACTTAATTTCATTTAGACACTTGATATATAATACAAAAACCAGACAATCATTCCAGAAAACAAACAAAACAAAAAACATATAAAATGAAAATGCACTTGAAAGTACAGGAAAACCTTTAGAAATTGGTCAGTTATTGTCCAGAAGAAGAACTTGGACTAATAAACAGATAAAGAATGAAAGAATGACCAAAAATTAAACAGGAAAGGCTAAATCCCATTTTCCATAAGCCTATGTGCTTTAAATGCACTTGTTTTGACATGCTTTTGTCAGGCACCTGACAATGTTTCCAGGCAGCATCAGTAACTCCACCACATGGAATGAAACATACCATATTTGCCCTAAACCAAATTAGAAACAAATGGAGGGTGACTATCTTTAATGTGTGAGACGGCATTTCCTTCTTGTGCATCTTGGCAAGGAGTTGTTATGAACAAGGTGAAAAGTGCCAAAGGACCAAATGTACGCATGTATAACCAAAAAAAGAACACCCAGTTCTTACCACAGTAGAAAAGCTTCTCATCAGACTTGTCCTTACAATGAGCGATGCCATCACAAGTCAGCTGATAATCAATGCATTCACCATTCCCACATTCAAACTCAGAAAAAATGTTACAAGTAGAATTTTTACCTAAAAAGAAACCATATTAACATGTATTTAAATATATATATATATACACATATACACACACACTTTTCTGTACATTTGTTGGCAATAAGCAGCATTGAGGGTAGATATCTAAATAGCAAACATTTTCAAAAATTCTATGTTGGGGTGAGTTACAAACCAAGGTAAGAGTCTAAAAAAACCCAACTGTAGCTAAATATCCATGAAAAAACATGTAGTGCAGCAACTCTGATAAGATGATGACATCTTTAAGCAACTCATGTCATCTACCTGGACTTGTGCAAGGCCTTCAACACTGTCCTGCATGACATCCTGGTCTCAATATTGGAAGGATATGGATTTGATGGATAGACCACTTGGCGGGTAAGGAAATGGCTGGATGGTTGCTCTCAGAGAGTACTGAGCAGTGGCAAGTGGCGTTCCCTCAGGGGTTGGTACTGGGACCAGGGTTGTTTAACATCTTTGTCAGCAACATGGACAGTGGTGTTGACTGCATCCTCAGCAAGTTTGTTCATGACATCACACTGTGTGGCGTGGTTAACACGTTAGAGGGAAGGGACGCCATTCAGACGGACTTTGACATGCTTGAGAGGTGGGCCCATGCCAACCTCCTAAAGTTCAACGAGGCCATGTTCAAGGTCCTGTACCTGGGTTGAAGCAATCCCAAGCACAAACCCAGGCTGGGTGGAGAATGGATTGAGAACAGTCTTGAGGAGAAGAACCTGAGGGCCAACACAAGCCAGCAATGTGCGCTTGCAGCCCAGTAAGTCAAGAACACGTGCTACCCTCTTGCATATGTATTTTCTTCAAGTTCAGTTAGAATTTGAAAAAAGTATCACAGCACTTACACAGACCAATTTGGCCATGAACTTTGTGACCGTATGCATGTATTTCATGCCTACGATTCTAAACAAATGATCAAAGTTTGGACAAAGAAGAAGTATACAGGACAAGTGAAGAAGAGGGAAATTATACTTCATTATTACACTTTTTCTTGTTTCCATTATAACTACTTTATCACAAATTCAGGAAGAACTAATGTCTGGTAAATGCAAAAGTCAAGCCAATATAAATTGAAAGTCCTCAGCATTTCCTGTATTTTGCCATGCTCTATGTCCTGCATAAAGGGATGGGAGAATGCCAGCTGAGCAAGTGATGGATCTGACCCAGAACATGAAGGACAGACTGGTAGGTAATGGAATTTAAGGAAGTTTTCCAGCTCCAAGAGGTCTCTTGTATGACCAAAATCAATAAAACTTAACAGTGTGGGAGGGTGAAATACAGTGATTATATAAGCCTGGTGGTAAGATTCCATCTGTGGGAATCAGAAACACTTGGCTCTAGTGGAAAGTATCTTTTTGTAAAGCAGTGAAGTCTTACTGAATACCTTTGAATCATTAGCAATCAGATATCTGTCCATACAGTCTCAATGGATCACTGTGTTCTGAAACAGTGTTACAGTTTAAACTGAAATCTTTATCACTGCAAATCATCTGTAAAATTAATTGTATCTCAATTACACAGCTAGACAAAGCAGTCTGAGCAAAAGCTGTAAATGTTACACAGGTTGGTTGTACACTACTTCACCATTGCAACTTAGGTCTAGATCAGCCCTGTTGTGAAGGATAGTAGGTTAAACCCTCAGACTTCTATATAGTTAATTACAGAATCAGGTGTTTCTGTGAAATCTCAGTGACTTTATAATGTGCTATGCAAAGACAAAGGTAAAAACTAACAACAAGATGCATGTATGAGCCAAAGGTAAAGGTGGAAGGTGAACCATAAAGTATGTGAAAGCACAGAATAAAACTAGCAATTCACATATTTGTTTTGGATATGTTGGTAATTACTGTATGTTTATACTGATTATATGCATAATTAATAGGATGCATCTCGTTTCATGTAATAGCAATATTTTAGGAAATTAAGCAAGAGGGAAAACTATGAATCCAAAAAAACCATGGCGAACAAGATCATACGGTTCAATTAGCTTAGTAGGGTATAAAATTAAATACAGGCTCCTCACAAAGCTATGCACTTTAAAGGATTGGGCTCTAGCCCAAAGGATGGCTTAACCCCATTTGAAATCATACCAATACTTAGAGGTGTCATTCTACCTTTTCCCTCACCAGTGTTTGCTGTTCTCACTAGTTCTCCTCTTTAATTGGCTGTAGTGATCTTGCAGTTTCAAGTTGAATGAGCTCTGCTCACTGATCCCATCACATCCTTCCAACAAATTACCAGCACATACTTCCATGTTCATAAACATCAATTGTGCACTGGGACAGTGTGATCTAAAGAAGCTGCAATGGATGATCATATATTCTGAACCACTTCTGAACTATGACAAAATAATTTTCTCATATCTTCCTTATCATGTGCTGAGACATACTAGTTGAGAGGAAGCATGGGAAGATGCAAGAAGAGCCCAGAACAGTTCAAACAAAACCAGCTTCCAAGGAGTCTGCCAACTTAAAGTGATACATTTCCCCCAGTTACTAAACTGCCAGTTCTACATGATTACCACAACAGTTGGTTAATAAGTTACAATTCTTTTATATGTGTAAGGACACGAAATTAAAATATTTGTACTCAACAGAAACAAATTGCATTACAAAATGTTCAATAGACAAAACTAATAGAATTGGTATCTAAGGAGAGAACAAGTGTCAATGCTTCTGAACCCCCCAAAAGCTTTATGAGATATTAAGCAATGGAAAGCCTGCTATGTGCTGAATTGCCAGATCAATTTTTACAGTATATGGAAACCATAAAATTAATGGCTTGGGCCAACTGTCTTTGCTTATGATAGCCAACTGCATCAGAGCATAGAAAAGCATTGTGTCAGCTAGTATTACTTACTCACACATCTGTTATCATCTATCAGCATTCTATCCCCTCGACACGAACAGTTTACTCGTCCATCAGGAGTTAGAAGGCATAAATCGTGACAACCTCCATTCATTTGTGCACAAGGAGATAACTCACCTGCAAAACAAAGGATAAAAAATGAACTCTATTTTATTAAATTGGCTTCAATGGCCAGTGTCTTTGAGAGAGCAAGGATCACTGTATCTCAGATTCCTGGGCATTTGATTAGAGTTTTATCAATCAGATGAAAACAGCAGCATGCCATTGCTAGCATACTAAAGATAAACAGTTACCTTGAACATTATAATTTTAAAAACTCTCAACATTCAAAACTGCTGAAATTTGAAAGGAAATTATTTAACAGTTATCAAATGAGCACAATGTCCATAGCAGAAAATGGTCATGCAGTAGTATTTATGTACTTGGGTAAGAGGTTATATCCCACCTTTTGTTAAGAGTTCCTACAACAAAAATAATTAAAGCAACACCATGAAACGTTTTAACTTTGTTAAGTAAAATCATTGAAACAAATCATCCTATAATGCACAAAATATTGTCTCTTGCTTTGTAACTTACAACTGTTGGTGTCGTTTGCGACAGCAATGATGCCCATTGGCTGATGGGGGATATCAGAACGAAGAACTTTTGTGTCTCCTCCTGTGTATTTACTGGAACGCAGAATCGCTCTCCTCACTCCATCTGACCAGAAGATATAATCATCGTACACAGCCAGGCTGAGAAAGGTGCCTGGTCCAGATTTGACAATTACCTAAAATACAGAAATACAGAGGAGAAGTATGAGAAGGAATGTTGTTGCTGAGTAAGAAGCTTTGAAAGTGCAAACTGTGACTCTAATCACTTTATGGTTTTAGATAAAACACTTAGTACTTCTATTCTTACAGCACCTACAAAAATGAGATTACAGCACTCAAAATGTTTTAAAAGGATGGGACAAGGTTTAACTTATTATTTATCAATATGGCCAAGCTTCAGAAATACAGGCATCTGTTCCTTAAGTAATTTATCTAAATGTGCTTATAAAAATACCCACTCAGCACACTACCTGCTTAATAGCCTGAACAGAACAGAGGAAATGGTACTGCAGCATGGCTGAAAGTCTAAAAAAGAATTCTGAGTCTTGATGAATAAAAGCCAGAAGAATGTTTCAGAACTGAAGCATGCTCACCACTATGATCACATTACAATCTTGAAACCCCCCTCCCCCCAAAAGCCTATGCTATTAATATTCAGACACATTCCAGAAAACAAAACAAACAAAAATCTATCATGTATGTTTCTGAAAGATTTGTAAAAAATCTGGCCATGTGGCTTTTGCAACCCTATATTTGTTCTCCGTGGTAATGTGAAACTATCAATTTGAAGGATTTTATTGTCACACAGTGTTCTGTAACACTGACATAATTTTTCTCAAATTGTAACAAAGGAGCGGAAATTCGTTACAGAACTGATCATCATTATTCAACCTTGGGAGATGTGAGATCCGAAAAGGGCCACAAAAGGAAACTTCCAGGAGCATTTGTTCACTAATGTTCATAGCGTTTTATTCACTGGCTTCTCCTCTATTATATCACAGCACTATCCAAGGACACTGGTTTTATTTTAGTAACCAAAAGAAAGAGTTTCAACTTTTGCCAGCTTTTTGGACAACTTTACATCTCTTTCATAATTCTAATTTATAGAATAATGCTGAAAATTATTAACAATTTAAAAAAAAACCCAAAACACCTGATAGCACTCCTAGATGATCACAAGTAACTGGAAATGAAAGTAGACTTGAAAAATAATCTTTTGGTTACCTGCCAAATCATGTTTAAGTCCTAAGGATTCAGTGCAAACCAAGTCTGCTGCCTGAGTCTCTGAGTTACTGATCATATTCTGATATTCTTTGGCTCAAGACATTAGCCTGCCACAGTCTTTCAGGGAATGCCCATCCCCAAATACATAACACAGAGAAGAAAATCACTGCACAATCAGCAATCACCATTCAACCAAAAGAAAAATAATGTTTTCAGACTGCAAAACCTTCAAGAGAATGAACTTACAGCAAGTTTTATATATAAACTGGAGGCTGGGTAGCAACAAATGACCCAAAGAAATGCTTCCACTCAGAATACTACAGGCCAAAAAGTCTTTACATATCCAACTTGGAAGCACATGACCAACACAAGCATAATGCTGAGTTATATTGCAATCATCCAACTGCAGTAGATGCTGCCCACTGTTCAATTAAGCTTGAACAAACTGTGCTGAAATGGGAGAGTTTTTGTATATGCTGAGTCAGAGGAAAAAGGACACAGCTCTGCTACACAGATTACCATACATAACTTTTTAACATTAACTAGAAGGCACAACTTCTACCATCAGATGTAGTCCAGAATTATATAGATCACAATGTCACAGAAATTTAATTCCCAACTACCACATTCATGCACACCCACAAAGTACTACAGCACTATATAAATACTGAAGACTTTTTCTACAAAGGACAGAAACTGTCAAAAAGCACCTATGCCACAGAAAGAAAGAATAATTATGGTCATCAGCAATGTTTTCAGTCAGAGAAGAGAAAAATGTGGTACTGGATGAATGTGCACATGTTAAAAACCATGCATTGCCATTCTGCATTACAAAGATTTGAACTGAACAGATTATTATTATTATTTTACAGTAACAAGTTTTTAAACAGAGGTTAGAGGTAGAATAAGAAAGAAATTTGGTACTGAAGAGAACACTTGTAAGTTTACCAGTTCCTCATTCCTGTTGCCACAACAGAAATTGAAAGAATCGTTAGTGTAGTTTTGGGTTGGCTTTTGTGGAAGAACAGCACCAATCACTGCTATGCTAGCAGTTAATATGGAATGTCATAATTATCCTGAATAAAGACTGTATTTTCATCATTGTCATATCTTTAATTTTCTTTACACTTACTGTGTCTTTCAAAAATAGCTTCATAACAACTCATTGCAATCACACAGTAAAGGATACAAAGGATGTACCAAAATGCCTTGTTTACCAAGAACAGTAAGATCCTGTTTCCACAGAATTGTCCAAGTGAGACATGAAAAAGTGCTTCCTCTTCAAGAATTAATTGCTGTTTCCCCATGCTAGAAATAAATGTTTAAGGCACTGAAAACCAAACTGTGATGCTAAATTTGCAGTGTCCCAGCTGCTACTTAGATTTGCAGTTCAGCTGAACACTACATTTAGCAAGTGTCTGTAGAAGGCCTATACTTCTCTGTGCCATTCAAATGGACAGGATACATCTCTGTAAACTGTGACTATATTAACCAGGTTCTTTGCAACTACACCATAGTTACTGCAAACACCATAAATGACAATAACAGACTTCATTCAATGCTACATTTATGTCCATCTCCTAGAATTCTGTAGGATCCTGATATACTAGAAATAATCATAGAGATTATTTTTGTCTCCTCATTAATTCCTATTTTTAAGTTAATTTCTACCAGTCTATCAACATTGGACATCAAGATATTTCAGCACACAGTCCCAAACTAATAGTGTTGGATCTGTGTCAACCAGCTACCTACCTCACATGGGCCAGAGGATTTTATTGCCATTAGTTAGGGAATCACTTTCATTAGGTTCAATCTCAGCATTACTTTACAGACCTACTTGAAGAAAGTAGCTCATCAATGTCAATGGACTGAACTCCCTAGAACAACTACTAATTAAGCAGGGGGGATATTTCACTTGTTATACTGGTTTTGGACTTTTAAAGGCAAATGTTAATGGAAAAAATGACCATTTGGAAAGGTGAGAAACAAAGATTCTTTTCGACCAGATTTGCAAGAGCAAAGATCAAGAACAGAACATTCCCACTTCAAATAACAAGTTTATGCTGCTGGACAGAGAAAATAAAAAAATCCACCACAACTTCACTTTTAGTACCATTAATTTCCAAGATTATCCTCACCACTGTACCTGCTTTTCAAACACAGAAAGAATTAACTTATTAAAAAGCCTGGAACCTAACAATAAACTATCATAATAGGGGGAATAGGAGAGGCATGATGAATTTAAATGTCTAGGTGGTAAACTGTGTGTGTGGCGCTAACAATATAAATTTTTACTACCATTTCTTGCTTGTCTACTATTATTGCTTCTAGTGCTGTTTAACAAAATCAAAAGGAAGCAGCAGAAACTGATGAAATAATTTCTCTATAGAGAGCAGGCTTAATTGTATTTTATTTCTAGACAACCATCCAAGTTTATTAAAATATCTGCCTCTTAGATGATATTATCTTCCTTTGGGTTAGTTTTCACATCTGTTTATTTATTAGTATATAGGGAATACAGCAGCATGATTCTTCAACTCAGGAACACACTCAGGACCTATATCTTTTTGCAGCTGTTCATGTAAAGATCTTAGTGAGAATCTTTTCTAACAGTTTTCAGTACATTCTGACATTCTATATATTTTATAGTAGTTTGCATTATTTGTCTCTGTTCTGGATACCTTGGCTGATCTCACTTCTACCCTGCCTTAGTGAGTTACTTAGTGAGTTACCTGTCTGCTTCTGATTCTATGACTCTATGATTCTCAAAGGAATGTTGACACCACCCTGAATACCTTCCAAGAATTGACCAAAATTACTCTGCTGTCCTCAATCATACTTTTACTACAAATAAATATAATGACTTGCCTGAAAAGTAATTGTAGATGGCAATCATAAAGTCACGTTTTTTTCATAAGTGCACAGCAACAGCTTTAACTTCCATTTCTTCATTTAGAAGGTTGCAAGCACACAAAGGTTTTAATTACTGGAGACACCTCTAAAGATGTATTGCTTTTAACAATCACAGCTGTAGGGCGTTAGATTATAACTGAGACCAAAACATTCCAACCTGGATGTTAGGAAATATTGAGAATTCTATTTACAGAATTAATTTCTAGGTTCTTGATACTTAAAATAATACGGAATATTCAACTGATGAAGGAAACAATCAAAATAGCTCACAATTACATGGAAATTTAAGTCTAAAACATAAAATCAGCTTTATATGCTGTTGGCTCAGCCTCTGTGTTGCTGAAGAAAATGTTATAATTAAAGCACTAAGCAGCTGAACAGCTGTGGCCACAATATTAACTAATATGAACTAACTAAGAGTGGAAGCAGAAGTGTGAGAAAAGGGGGCAGGGTTGTGAAAGAAACAATTGTCAGTTCTGTTTTTTAAAGAACTGACAATAAACCTGCATAATCTCTAAGTAATAAAAAGGAACAAAAAAAATTCTTCCAAACCTTACAGAGTATTCCAGCAACCAAACAGTGGTATTAAAATACCAGTTTAACACAAAATCAATAAACTCTTACAATCCACCTAAAAGAGTCAATTTGATACTTCTACATTATTTTATACCTGGTTCATTGTACTAGTTCATTGTGGCTTAGTAGAACGAAGAAGGAAGATGTTACCTGGAAGAAAATTCATTACATTACCATTTCATGATCTCCTATACCATTTCTACCTTTGTTAACTGAACTGAAACTAGAAAGCAATGAAGCAGACAGTGCAGAAAAGGGGAATATGTTTAATCTGTTCTTGAGGGGTGGCTCATGGCAGGAACTTGCTGAACCTTTTTAACCTGAAGAATTTCAGATCACCAGAATGTTGAAAGGATTATTACTTGTATTATACTAAAGTTACAGAAATCAGAGATCTTAAGCTGGAGAGCACATGAATGCTGTTCTGTTACCCTGTGTGCCAAAAGATGCAGCAGCAACTGAAGGACATACAGATCTAAATGACATGAATCGTCTCTGAAAGTATGACCCAAATTTAAACAAAAAGTGAATACAGATTTTTCATAAGGTCTAGAATCAACCTATAATTAAAGGATAAAAACCAATATGAAAGAAGGAAAGATAGTAACTCCATTTTTATCTCCCAAATGACAAAGCAAAACCAAACAAACTCCAGGAAAATCACTGAACTCCTGTGTGTTATTCTCAGGCACACAGGTGGATTCACTTAGCAAAAAACCTAGAAAGTCAATGAATTTTCACAGTAAATATATAGTCAGAGATTGTATACTTTAGAATCCATATAGTTATGGTCTTTCTAGTTTCTGATACAATTTTTGCACCTTATAAACATTAGTGAGCTGCATTTAATTTATACAAATGAAAGCAAAAGGTTACCCAGGGAGGTTGTGGATGCCCCCTCCCCCAAATCAAGGCCAAGCAGGATGAGGCTTTGTGCAGTCTCATCTAGTGGGAGGTGTCCCTGCTGAAACTAATAAAGCACTCAAGGACCAAAATCTATTATGATAAAATAGTAATGGAGTGGTTGAATATCTGAAAATGGACAGTTAGGGGAAAAAAACTTAAGAGTTGTAGAGTAACACTCAAGCATTACACAAAAGAACTTCTAGTGTGTTCAGAGAAGCTTGGCACAACAATGAAAATTATAATCATCCTATGTACAGCAGAACATTTTTCTACCTCTTCCACTGAAATTGCTTCTACAATTTTTTCAAGCTGATACAGGTCATTTAGGGCAAGTGATGTTTCAGGCTCAGTAGCAATACAAATACATTTTGTGATAAGTGTTTGCATCTACAGGTCACCCAGAAAGTGGAATGTGTTGAGGAAACAGAGCATTACTTGTAGTTCAGAAGTCTTTTTAGTTTTACAACTAGTATTAGGAGAAACTCAAGCAAATAATGATCTTTCTTTAATATTTTCATTTGAAAGATGCTAACAAATGAAAAGAAGCAGATCCACATGGAATAGAACTTTTGTTTTACTTACATATCTTTGTGATCCATCGTATTCACACCTCTCAATTTTTCCCAAGCTGCCATCTGAAAAGTAAAGTTTCTCTGCCCTATGATCGATGGTAAGTCCATTTGGTGTCAGAATATCTGTACTAATGATGACCTGTGCATTTTTGCCTGAGAGGGTAGATCTCATAATGCTTGGGAGCTGCTCATTCCAGTTAGTCCAAAACATTAAGCTGCATTAAAATCAGAATAACAAACAAAACAATAAGATACATTTTATAATTTTATTCTCTATGAATACGACTTACAGAAAAAAAAAAAGCAGCAAGCCTTGACAGACAATTATGAATGGCATCTATAAGTAACTGTGATAACCAGCAGTGAATAAGGAAATGTAATAGCCAATACCCTATAAATTATAGCAGTTTCCTAGTTCATTAACTTGTATAAAGTAATTTTTTTTTTCTCTTCACAGGTCTGTTAAATTCTGATCATGTCTCTATACTAATATAGCATTACAGATAGATATAGGCTGTCTTACAATATACACTTAATTATGCTAATGAGTATATTAGTAATTTCTAACAATGAAATTAATTTGCATCTTTTCCCATATTACAACTGTGATACAGACCAAAGGACTGGTATGCAGAAGGATGACAAGGAGAAATTAAGTGACCTTAAAATGCTTTACAGGATGCACAGTGGTCCCCTTGGTACTGTTAAATAATGGTGGACACAAGAAGCTGTGGATGTAAATTCATACACTGATCAGAACCTGGCCATTCTTTCCCTGCAGATCTGCATCAGTATTTAGTTGGCTTATTTATGATATCTAGATAAATCTTATTTTACAATGCAGCATAAACTCTCAATACGCATAAACAATACGTGCATTAGTTGACTGTGAAATAAAGAAGTGCTGCTGAATCCCTGACATTAGGTACAAATTAAAATCTGGTAAGAAAGATATAATACATACTTTTGACATTCATCTAGAGCTAACACATGGGGATGATCATCTTCAGACATGGTTATCACTGCTTCCCGGTTGAAAGCTCCTCGACGCTTCTGGTCAACAGTGTGTCTCGTGATTGAGGAGGTGGTTGAACTGGTCCAATAGAGAGTGTCCCAAGCTCTGTGATAAGCAAGTCCCTCCACTGACCCAACATCTGGAAGACAGAGCAAATAAAACTCCTAATAATGTTTGTTTTTCTTTTTCCTTGAAGCTGATCCTGCAGAATCTCAGACTAATTCAGCCTATTGACTCTCCATTCTTTTATTGTTTCAATTGTTTGTTTTCATTGGAATCCAAGAGTTATTGTTTTGTAATATATTTAAATTAAAAAAATAGAAAGCAAGATCACTGTTATTAATCCTGCAATATTTGTCAGCTCTAACATTCATTAACTTAAGATTTTTACTACAGTGTCCCCAGATAATACATTAGAAATACTAAGCATTTATTCAGGCAGCCATAATTCAGTCACAACTTCAAACATCATGTAAGCCAAGTCGTGGACATGTTTTCACTAATTACTTATTTTAGTTAGCATTATCTTTTGATATATTTTCTAACACAAATGCGCATTATGTTAATATGACTGAAAGTGTCCTGTTGTTATTGACTCTATATGGTTTTTTTGAACACCTGAAAAATACTGAAAAAAGACCAAATCCAAAGGTCTTGGCATCACTCTATTGTGTTAACAAGCCACATTACCACATTCTTTCATTCTGCATAAAAAACTGTGAGCTAGAAACAAAAGCAAATATTAATAAGCAGCTGCAGCATATATTTAAAGTCCAGAAAAGACAAATGGTAGCTGATTTCAATATATAAAAGTGACATACTGTGAGAAATAGGAGTAATTATTTCCTACCATTATATTTGAATTACTACAGAAATGTATGTTGATTACTTCACTTATTATTTTGTTAGAAACAGATAATTTCAGACCAGAAGGTTCATGCAGCTTATTAATGAACTATAGAAGCAAAAACCTAGAACTATAACAAGGATTTCATTGCATTGGTTATTACAATTTACATTTGGCTTGCCAGAAGATGTAATTTTTAGCATGCAATTTATATACACAGAACAAAAAGTCCCAATATACGTTTGATCACACTGCAAGTGCTAACACTAAATCAAAACTATGAGACAAATGATTATTCATCAGTTCTTTATATTTCTCTTTCTAATGCAGCTGACTACACTTCCATGACATGTCTATAAAGAAGTCCTTAAAATTAAGACCTTGTAGCAACTTCATACTGCCAAAGACATGACACAGGAGTAGATTCCAAATCAGCTACATTCTAGTGTTACATTTTTACTGGTTTGCATTGATATTATATGTACTGATTTCACACTTCCTCAAGGAATAGTTTAGAGCTCCTTTTTTTTAAGTTATTTTATCATTAACTATTCCGTTACTTTAAAATATATTAAAGTATGTACTCATCCTATTGGTGCTACAATTGGAGGATTCAGTCCCAAATCTACTGACAGGATGAAAATCAGCAATTTGTTTACTCTCAGATTCACATTTTCACAGCATCATATAATATTCTGAATTAGTAAAGTATAAAGAAACTGGAAACGAAAAGAAACACATTTGTTTCACTGACATATTGAATTAAAATACTGATGGCATTAGATGCCTACAGCACTGATTAAATTTATTCTAGCCATGAAGCAACAGTTTATGATTTTCACATGAATAGCATACTTAAATGAAGGGAACATTAATACAATATGATATTAATATACAAATACTCACATTATTCACCTGCCACTGACATTCTGAATTAAATCAGTAATGGGGTGTATAACTGATTAAATATCTACACAAGAGAATGCAACAGCTTATGATTTACAAAGGCAATGGTAGAGTGATCACATCATTACGTTGCCAAATGCTATCTATCACTTTTACTGAACTTAACGAAGATGGATTGCATCCCACAGATGAGATGCAGCCTATAAATATTGTCGTGCTGATCTTCATCTGACTTTCCCAGTGAACAGACAAGCAACAAATCAATAACTGAAGAACTCAGATTAGAGCTCCCTCATTATTACATACAAAAAATAAAATACCAAAGGATATGAAGTTTAAATTGTCCAGTAATTGTTGCCACTGACTTCTGGTAATGTATATGCTACTTCTCAGTTCCCTAGGTTTTTAGCTCCTACTTTCCACTTTTAAAATTCTCTAGTAAATCTACAGTCAAAACTGTTCCAGTGCATTAGTTAAACTAACTTTTTCATTTAATTTCATATTTTACCAACCCCTTTTCTTTAGCAAACCTGTAAAGCAAGAACAGTCAACACCATATTTTTTTTTAATATTGAAAAGCCAAAGTAATACAATTGAGCATAAACAGCACTTCAATACCAGAACTTTGGAGAAGGCTTTAATGTGCAGTACTTAACCTTCATGATCTTTATTCATTCTCTAAATTGGCTTTCACAATAGCTTTCAGGACATGGCCAATTGTTATGGCCGACTGGTCACAGGAGAGGATACTGCTTCTGTCAGTCTCTTTGTGTAAGATTATGGTGATGGGTGACAAGTGGTCACCATTTGATCTGAGGTGAAGAGGATGCCTCAACAAGCAATAAAGCACCTGAAGAAAAGGGTTTATAGTTCACCCAGCTGACTGTACAAATAGAAATTTAAATAATTACCTGAAGGGGTCTACAGGAAAGCTGAGAAGGGGCTTCTCAGATAATATGAAGTTGTAATTAAAGCAAGATGAGCTCCATTGTGTCCAGTTCTGGGCCCCTTAGTTCAAGAAGGACAGGGAACTGCTTGAAAAAGTCCAGCGCAGAGCCACAAAGATGATTAAGGGAGTGGAACATCTCCCTTATGAGGAAAGGCTGAGGGAGCTGGGTCTCTTTAGGTTGGAGGAGATCTCATCAATGTTTACAAGTACGTTAAGGGCGAGTGTCAGGAAGATGGAGTTAAGCTTTTTTCAGTGATGACCAGTGATAGGACAAGGGGTAATGGATGCAAACTGGAGCATAGGAGGTTCAATGTGAACATCAGAAAAAAACTTTTTTACTATGAGAGTGACAGAGCCCTGGAACAGGCTGCCCAGAAAGGTTGTGGAGTCTCCTTCACTGGACACATTCAAAACCCGCCCGGACACATTCCTGTGTGATGTACTCTAGGTGATTCTGCTCTGGCAGGGGGCTTGGACTAGATGATCTTTCGAGGTCCCTTCCAACCTGTAGGATTCTGTGATTCTGTCAGTCTAAAAAAAAAAGGCTTTAGGTTCTTCAAAGCAATAACTAGCTTAACTTCAAGACACTATAAACATTTCCATGGATGTAGCCTTACTATTCCTTCAAACTTACTGCAGTAGCAAGAACTGGTAAGAATTAACTTGACATCATGAATGAAGTTGACATCAGTCAACTTACGCAAGTCTATACAAAACACCTGATGAGACTATTCAGAGTAGAAAACATCAAAATTTTGCATGAAATAGACCACGCAGTTGATTACTTTAATCACAGTTAAATGAACTAACCAACCAAATGGTATATCATTGATAGATGATGTCTGTGCAATGAAGTGCATTAGCTACCAATTGAATGTACCTGTGGTGCAACACTGGTAAAGCCCAGTTGCTCTATCACCTGACCCCACCAGGGAGGGAAACTGGGAAAAGGAAATGAGACCCAAGGGTTGAAGTGAAAACAGATTTAATGCCCAACACCACACGCATGACCACTCCAGCCAGAACGCGACGGTCATGGCAGAGGAGCAGGCCTCAGGACAACCAGCAAGAGAGAAGGGTCCCTCTGGGGAAGGCAGCCATGGCAGAAGCCCACGAAGATCTCCTCAAGATTTCAGATTTATAGCGAGGGTGACATTTATGCAGTGGTATACTTCAGTGGGCCAGCTTGGGTCAGCTGCCCTGGGCATCATCCCTCCTGGCCCACTATGCCTGCACGGCTCAGAAGCACCCTCGCCCTCTGTCACTACAGAAACCTGCACACCAGGTATTTATTTCTCTTTTGTTCTCACAGAACTGGACTCTGCAATCTCTCAAAGCTACATTTTCTCTGAACAGAAAAGTGATTTTAGAATTCTGTCCCAGGAAAGCCAGGAAACCCCAACAATGGAACAGCCTTTCCATAGCTGTTCCCTGACACCTCACTGAAGAAAAAAACCCAACTCAACAGAAACGTAAACCTGCAATATTCTGTCCTCTAACAGGAAACAAAAAAGTTTAGCATACTGATCTTCATTATTTTGATTTAATTAAGGCTGCCATTAGTTGCTTGCTCCATCAAAACCACAAACTATTTGTGAATAATATAGTCTCTTTCACTGAGACCTCTAAGTCCATGTAGAAGAAATCTCTATTCAGATCATCACATCGCTAACAATAAAGCCAACCTGCCATTTATCATCTGACAAAACAAACAACAGCCAATAGGAAATGTTGTATGCTAGGGGATAGGCATGTAATATTAAAAATCTCAAACCAAACAGACGCTTACTTGTATGGAAACATTTTCCTTTTCAGTTGTTTCAATCTACTTCAAAACTACTTGCAGATATGATAGGCCCCTACTTAGATCTATAATAATTTAAAGCACTTGATATATGTTCCTTTGAAATCGCTTCCAGTTTGAACACTACACAAACTGGTTCAGAATTCTGAAACAATGCTGTTTTCTGTCTAGAAGTGATTATCGACAAAGAAAATAACAATCTCCCCTGGGCTCCCTCTGAGAGGAGAACAGACTCAATCCTTCCAAACAAAACTGAAAACCTGTAGCAATTTTAAACAAGTCAGATTTCCAAATACTTCCTACCGTAACTCTGTGCCTTTAACTGCCACTGATTTCTGTTCATTATTTCTGTATACTGCTCCACTACCTCATTTAAACCCAGGTTTTCAGTAACAACTTCTCCCAGAGAGCTTGACAACAGTTAGAACAGCTCTACCTCTGGGCTGAACAGAAATTGTAACAATTACTTAGAGATGGTTACTCCGATATATCGATTTAAACTCGATGTCACTTTCAAGTAAGTTTGCTACCTTTTCTACCTCTTTTTGTATTGAATGCCTTCTTTCAATTTTCTACAAAGCCTACAGTCCACTGGTTGCTAAAATTAATTAAAACCAACTTGCAAAGTGTGTTTAATCTCTCTGGATCTCCTCTATAATATAATCTAAGTTAGGATATGATTTGTCAAGACATTGGTTTTCACCATCAAAAGCTCCAGAAAACATATGCGAAATGAAAAAAAACCTCATTTTTGCAGAGTGAATCCTGCACAATTCCTCAAAACCTGAAGAACAGAGAAAGTGTATATTGGCATAAACTTTCTAAATAAAATCCCTGTTCCTTTGTTGTTTTTTTTACAAAGGACTACAATTGACAATGAAAAATAGGAGTACCATCAAAGTTCTCATAGTTTCCAAAATGAAAATGGACACTGCATCCATTTCCTGGAACTGTGGGAATACAGACATTTTGCCTTAACAGGTTCATGAAGCTTTTCCAACACAACAAAGTACACATAAGCAGAAGTAGCTGAGGCTTCAGATTAGAAGCAGAAGTAGTCTAACGCGTGTCAAGCAAACTGCAAGGCTGATGTTTACAACTAAGAAGTGGAAAGTTAAAAATAAATCAGTCGGTGGGATCACACAGTAAGTACCTACTCATTATTTCATAGTCTGATACTTCTCAAAGTGTGTACTTAAAGCAAGACAGACAATAGATTATAACCTCTTACATTCCCTTTGGAATGAAAGACTGAAATCAATACACATAATTAAAATAGGTAATAGATACTGCTGCATTGATAATTTAATTTTTAAAATGTTTGCAGACTAAACTGTAAATGATGCGACAGCAATAAAATAATGAGTGATACTGAATGATTAGATAATTATTTGTAGAAAACTTTGTAAAACTGGTGATCAAGTCAGATTAACTGCATAAAGTTACTTATAAAAATAAGAGAGAAAACGTCCCTACTGACTGCCTGAAGAAAATAATGCTCATTTTGTTAGCAGAGTTCAGAAGTAAGAAAGAATGCACTTCAAAAACCTATGCTGGACAAAATAATACAGCTGTTAGGGTCTGGCTTACTATGCACATCCTACACTGGTTTTTGTTGTTGTTGTTATTGTTTCTTCCTGCT